ATATTTCTTTATGAAATAAATTGCTTTTGTTAATTATAACACGCAATTGCATTATTGCATAACTTTAGGTGTAATTCTGTTGCTCGTACGGTAGTGAAATTGTCATTCAAGTCCCGCCCACAACAAACATGGCCGTCTATTACATCGTGTTAAATTCGTGAGTAATTGTCTGTGATAAATGAATCGGTTTTGATGATAAACAAATTAAATAATACCTGTAAAAATAATATATCATGATCAGTTACTCACAACTTAAATCCTGACTACCGGTAAAAGAGAAACAACAATTCCAGTTTACTCCAAGTTATGCAAACAACTGACAATCAAACGATAGCGTCTGTTGCCCCGCCCACTCCACGCGTCATGACAATACCCAGATTGTAGCCATTTAGATCTATCAGTAAAATAATACAATAGCATTTTTAATACCAATCAAAAAAACAATGATTTTGTCAACTACAAACGACTTTATAAAGAAAACGATAACAACTCACTGGTAGATAATTAACTATACCGGTAAATTATAACAATGGGCCAATCACTGAATCCATGTTGAATGAAAACCGTCGGTAACTTAAAACGGTTACTAAAAGACAGTCTTGCTCAAAGAAAACACCCCGATGTATATAAAGAAAACGGTAACAACTCACTGGTAGATAATTAACTATACCGGTAAAATAATACAATAGCATTTTTAATACCAATCAAAGAAACAATGATTTTGTCAACTACAAACGACTTCATAAAGAAAACGATAACAACTCACTGGTAGATAATTAACTATACCGGTAAATTATAACAATGGGCCAATCACTGAATCCATGTTGAATGAAAACCGTCGGTAACTTAAAACGGTTACTAAAAGACAGTCTTGCTCAAAGAAAACACCCTGATGTATATAAAATACCAGTGAACATTCCATCATTCTTAAAAATTATTTATTCAGAATGGCTACGAGACGAACCGCTTATACCGCTAAGGAGAATTTTGCAGATATTGTTAGCACTGTCGTTTATGTCTAACGGTATACGGAAAAGCCGGAACAATAGAAATATGACTAACGGTATACGGAAAAGCCGATACAGTATCTTAAATGGCCGCCATATTTATTGCACGAGAAAAGACGACATCGGAATGTCGGACTAGCAGAAAAATATGTCATCTAATTATTTACGATATCTTTGCAGATATTTTAATAACACTAAACCGCTCTTGACCCATATTGTTGCCACTGTCGTCTATGACTAACGGTATACGGGATATCGGTATGGGAAATGGCCGCCATCTTTATTGCTGTTGTCGATATGATCAACTTCAGACCTCGATGTTGACACACAGAAAAGCCAAGATTTGCTTAATACTATGTATAAGGCGCACCCCTTCTAGAAAATAAAATACCTGGTAAAAAAAGTGCGCCTTATACACCGAAAAATACGGTACACTTGGATCTGGAAGACTTGTTATTTAACTTGTGTTCTGCTTGAAATGAGGAGTCAGCCAATCAAATGGTCTGTCAAATCGAGTGTTTGACCTTTTTTGCCTGGAACTGTGGGTAATCCACTAGTAACATCAATGCTGATTGGTTAATCAAATGTCTGACGTCATAGGTCAAAAATCGGTCTTTTGACCCCTGACATGACCTATCGCTATAACTTGTCAGATCTTCATGTAGTGTAGGCCATCGAAAGTATAAAAAAACGAAACAAAATATAGATCTATATTTTAATCAGATTGTATCAATATGAACGTGTGACTTTACGTGTATCTGAGGTTGATGATAGAAAATTCAATAAGCTATTGCATTACATAATGTGACTAAAACAGCCTCAATATGTCCCTGGATAAGTGTTCTTAAAGATACATTATGGGAGATTTTTATAGAGAGTTGGCCATTCTTGCTATAACAGTTCAAAAGTAGATGATGAAAGAAGAATATATTGAAAATTTCAGTCAAATTACTTTATTCTGAACATAGTTATCATCGTTGTAATATTTGACTAGAAATGGTAGTGAAATGTGCCTTCACCTTGTCCGATTGTTTGATTGACAGGCGTTAACTCCACCTACATATCTCGATTATCAAGTAAAGTTTTCAATGGCATGCGGAAATGCTCTACAGCGGTCTCGCTAAGTACACTCTATCATTTAGCCTCGATCTAACTGGCGTATTCTCATCAGGGTGCGCCATATTTGAATTTATCAATGAGTGAAATCCTGTTTAAATCCGAGCTGTAGCCGAGCCATCCGTGGGTCTACAGAGTTGATTTTGGGCTTGTTGTTTAAATAAAGATCTAATTTATAATTTCTATAACATCTGAAGCCTAAATTAAGACTTGTAGATTTTGCTCTTGCATAATGTATGTTTAATCAACTGTATTTTGTCAGCTTTAGTCGATTGATGTTTAATCAAGCCGATTGATGTTTAATCAAGCCGATTGGTAAAACAATGAATCGGCCACTATGGTATCATAAATCAATCTACTTTTGGCTAAATTACAACGGATTAATTATTACTTGTTAATTAAGAAGTCAATCAACTTATTTGTTGGCTACGGCAACAGTCATACTTTATTGAGAATCAGCCATATGTGAACCTTACTCGTACATGTAAGAAATGAAATAAAATGGGGTTTAACGTCCTACTGTTCTGCTCCGACTGGGCTAATGAAGATGGGCATACACCATACAGTGTGCTATGAGGGAAATTTTGCCCGGGCAGCAGCACTATGGCCTACTCTTATATCGAATTCCAACTGCCAAGGGTTCTTTTACATGCACGCCAATGTGTATACACGGGACCTCAGTTTTTTGTCCCATCCAAATGACAAGACAGCTGTCCTTGCCAGTCCCTCCTTCCTACACAGCTAACAAGGGGAAACCACGTCAGAAAATCCAGATGAACTTTCTCCCCCAATGTAGCGAACGAACACGCTACCTCCAGGCTAGCGAGCCAGCATCTTACCCACTTAGGCACCATGGCCCCCCTCGTACATGTATGCTTGTTATTGATAGGCATGTGCATGTTTAACACCCCTACAATTTGAGAGAAACAAATTTCAGAATGTAGTATACCAATATTTTTATGCTCACATTTCATGCGGTATATATTGTCATCACCCTGACCATCTTGTTCACAAATCTTGTATTGCTCTATAATTCAGAATTTTTGTGATTTTAGTTTTCACGTTACTGTGATTATCGTGGTAATCATTACATTACAAGACCTGACAGGATCACTACGATTACTCCACGATTAAAATTATGATTTCGATCGTAGGGCGAATCGTGATATTGGGAACCTAGCATTAGTAAGGAGATGTTAGCTGAGAAATAAACTCATCTTCTGGTTCGTGTAGTAGCATCGGATATTAAACCCCAGTTCATTTCATCTTTATCTGTCTCAATCTCTGGCCTTTGATGTCTGTATTATTGAGCATGGTTTATTGTAACAGTCTCCACCAGTGTCCAGGCTATTAACCTAGATAGATATTATAGTATTATCTTTAAATATTGATAATATAATTATAATTAATTTGTCCATGACCTGCATATTAAAGGCATGCAGTAGTAAGTGCCAAATTTGCAAGATTGAATTGTATGGGACAAAGGATGAGGTTAATAATGTCACATGAGGCAAAATGTTTTTATTTTTGTGATCTGCCATTACACACAGTGTATGTAGACCTCGTTATCCAGGCAATTTTGAGCAACTTTGGGAGCAATTTTTTATTTCTTGTAAGTGTACCATACTACTCCAGATAGTTACGCAGGACTTATTCTCTGGCGACCGTTAAACCATTTTAACTTGCACGTATGAACTCAAATGTGGGGCAAATAAACAAATTTAAAAACCTCAGCTTGTCTACGAGAAGGCTTTTCTTAAAAGCTGTCTTATTTTGACCCTCTGAACAGGTCGGCTTAAAATTTCAAGCTCCAGTTTGCTGCCACTACCAGACAAAATGATGACATCTGCCCATGAGTAATTTACAAAGTTAAAATTAAACTGGTTTGGCTTATAGGAAGTGTGAACGCAGCACTATCCTGTCGTTTAAAATCCTTGGTGATTTTGAACTATTTTAAATAAAAGCGCCTGAACGGGCTATAAGTTTTTTTGTTGTTTTTTTTATTTTTTAACAAAGTTATATACGAGACTACCACTTTAAATAGATTAGGTCACTTGAAAATGGCGTGTCAGTGTAAAATGAAAGGAAGAGTTTATCTTTTAACAACTGTCACATGACAGTTCTATTTTACGTTGTATTTATTAAATTATCTTCATAATCAATTCACTCTATTTAAAGAAACATGGCTGTCGGTAGGTTTATACATATTTCTGTTTGAGTTAAAGGAGAAACCCCTGGATATATTCCAGTGAATAAAAGCGGTAAAATTTAGTGTGGAAAATCACTAACGACTACTTGAACATTGTGCCTGGACGAGCCTAACCCAGATAGATGTGCTTCTGTTTATAAACGAGTAATTAGATTTGGCGGCATTTTAATTAATTAGAAAGTTCGACAAGTGCTCTAATATAGTTACATAATGTAGAAATGTTTTGGTGATCATTTTAAACATGGTAAATATTTTCCGAGGTGCTATCCCCTTGTCAGTGGTGCAGAATGGAGGGCCTGACAAGGACAGCTGTCTAGTCCTTTGGATGAGACGAAAAACCGAGGTCCCGTGTATATATTGGAATGCACGTAAAGGATCCCAAGGCAGTTGGAATTCGATATAAGAGTAGGCAATAGTGCCGCTGTCCGGGCAAAATTTCCCTCATAGCACACTGTATGGCGTATGCCTGTCTTCATTAGCCCAGTATAGGAGCAGAACAGTAGGACGTTAAACCCCATTTCATTTCATTTCAAACATGGTAAATAGGTTATTTTTTCATATTTAGGTGCTGATATCCATAGTTAGAAATTATTATTTCATCATCATTATATGTAAGGGGATATTTTTAGCAGCATTAGTAACGTTTTGTTTTTCTAAAAATACTTTAGGTATACTTGACTAGAGCCACATGGAGAAAAGCAGGGAATTATGGGTGAAAATGGTGCTGTCAGTCAGTCATTGACCAATGAAAATGGAGGATTGGAAGGAACTGTCTCCAGTAGTGGAGGAAATAATAAACAGAGCGAGGAGGAAGAAACGGATGGATCCGCCTCGTCCTCCAGTAATGAGGCTGTTACTTTCTCGTTACGTACATTAACGAAACAACAGAAAGGATTACTACTTAGTATCTGTTTAACGGAGTTCCTCATAATGTGTTGTAATTCCCTAATCAGCCCATTACTACCTCCTCAGGTAAATATTAATGTTAGATTTTATTATTTTAAGACATAAATTGTGATATGCATGAAAGTGATGTAAATATTATGATGTCATTCCCATTAAGCCATTGTAATTCATGTTGGATTACAAATTCTTGCTGGGGGGGTTGGATGGCTGAATGGTTAGTGTGCGCGCGCTGTATCATAAAGTCTGTCATTGAGTCGACTGGCGTGGTTTCGAATCCCCGGTTGTACGTGGCAAGGAGTAGGGTCGCCTGTCCAACCTCGTGGGTTTTCTCTGGGGCCTCCGGTTTCCTCCCACTGCTAAAGACTGCTACGCGCAAGTGAATTATGTAAATAAAATTAAACCATATGTTAGTCCCGAAATGACCTAGTTTGTGTCGAGTGGACGTTAAACCCCATTTCTCTCTCTCTCTCACAAATTCTTGCCCAGTTGGAACAGAAGAGTAGGATTTTAAACCCAATTTCATTTCATTTCACAAATTCTTGTGCTACATTATCACCCTGTTATTCAACACAGAACAAATGAAATAAAATGAAATGGAAAGAAAGAAAGAAATGGGGTTTAAAGTCCACTCGACACAAATTAGATCATTTCAGGATTAAGAAATGAAATGGGGTTTAACCTCCTACTGTTCTGCTCCGAACTGAGCTAATGAAGACGGGCATACGCCATACAGTGTGCTATGAGGGACAGCGACACTACGGCCTACTCTTATATCGAATTCCAACTGTCAAGGGATCTTTTACGTGCACACGAATGTGTACGCACACGACCTCAGTTCTTTATCCCATCCAAACGACTAGACAGCTGACAACTGTCCTTGTCAGGCCCTCTGTCCTGCATCACTGACAAAGGGGAACCACGCCGGAAAATCTGAATGAACTTTCTTGGCCAATGCAGGAATGGAACACCCAACCTCCAGACTAGCGAGCCAGTGTCTTACCCACTTAGCCACCTTGATCCCCTCAACACAGAACAGTAACATTCCAAATTTTATGACTTCTATTTCACTTGTAATACGTGGCTTGGGTGTGCAATTGGTGTAACATGTGCTTTAGTTCATACAGTCTATTGCTGAGTGGCGTGGTTTCGATACCCCGCTTTTACGTAACGACAAGTCAAGTGGCCTGCCTGACCACATGGGTTTCTCCGGGTCATCCAATTTCCCCTCTCTGCTAAAGACCCTTACGTGCAATCAAATTATTGAAATAAAATGTACCATTGTTCGTTTCGGAAATAAACAAGTGTGTATTGAGATGATGGTCAGTCCCATTTCTCACCTGTAATGGTTTTATATTGTTGGGTGTTTTTTTTAGGCTAACGGGAGAAATGTGAGTGGTCAAATGCAAGGCTGGATAATGGCATCATTTGCTGGTGGACAGTTTATTATATTTCCTGTTTTTGGTAAATATGTAAGTAATTTAAACCATATTCATTACCAGTGATGGGATTTCAAAAAATTTCTTGTCAGACATTTTCCCCCGAAAATAAAGGGGCATAACTCTTATCGTAATTTAAACAGACGTTTTCAAAACACAATTAAGAATCACGTGTCAACAAAATATATTCAAATTCATATGTAAAATAAAATAGGTGCACCTCGTTATATTTCATGTTTAAAACCCGTACGGTATTCAAATTTATGTCAATAATATTCCTACAAAATTACATGACATCGTAATACTATAGAATGGCAGCGTGCCGACTGCTGCCGATCTGTTTCAAACTCCCCCAAAATTACCGTATTTTTCGGGTCACGTCGGTACATTTTTCAGCAAAGTCCGACATTCGTCTGATACTCCGTTTCGATTTATATACGGAAGGTAAAAAAATGACATCCCGAAATTTATTTGACCGTAAACCGTAGTTAACGACTCTCTAATACAACGAGCGAGTGTCTCAAACTGCTAAATAATTGCATTCGACTGTAGCATGCGCTATCGTCTAAAACAATTAACTACTTACTTCATTCCAATGGAAATATTCGTCAACATTTCTTAGCGTGTTTATTTATTTAAAGACATAAACCCCATTCAAAATATGATCATAAATCCGACAATATGCCATCAAAATATAATCTTTTCTCGGATATCAGGCGTATTGCATTCGGCACGTATACATCTCTTAATTTCGTGTGTCTCGCGAGATTTGTACTTTCATTTTAATTACTGAACTATATAAGCGCCATATGCGTGTGTGTGAAATATTTTTATTTAACTTCGGCTGCCACCGAAAATATATGACAGACAAGTTATCGGATACAATGTATGTTGATTTGAGGTGTTATATGTTATCAGGATATGTGACATATATGACTAATTTCTACGTGTTATTGTCCGACACAAAGGAGATTAAAACGTGAGACAATGGATAAATCACGGGTTAATCAGATTAAGTTTATAATCACTCTTATTGGATTGATATATCCTCCGACAAAGGAGAAGCAATGACTTCTGTTCAGGATTGATTTGATGAATTGTCCGATAAAGAATTAAGTCAGCCAATCAAGGCAGAATAAGTAGTTAATCAAGGTAGGTGTGTAGACGATAAGTAGTCGATCACTTAATTACCTAATCAATCCAGCCTATTCTCAACGATAATCGGGTTGCACTGTAGTTATACACCCAGTACACTATATTAATTTTGGAATTTGAATATTATTCACCATGTCTTGATGTCCGATTCGGCATATTCCCTCTCGGACAATTTTGGCAGTCTCGAAAAAAAATTCGGATAAGTCCGGAATATACGGGTAAAATTCCATCACTTTTCATTACTAATGAAATTACTGATCATCTTTATGTATGGATGTGAAGTTACAAGACTGAAAACTTCTTAATTGGTTTGAAGAATTGTCAATAATACAAATGTCCAGAAATTGGCAGTTGTTTTCTTATGAAGAAATGCTAGACATCATTATATTTTTGACTTGTTTGATTATTCATCTGTTTGTGAGGAAGTTTGGCGATCTAGTGGTTTAACATGTTCGTGTGACTGTGAAACCATAAAGTCTTGTCATTGAGTCAAATGATGTGGTTTTGATTCCTTGCTTGTATGTGACAAGAAGGAGGGTAGCCTGTCCAGGCCCGTTGGTTTCTCCAGGTCCCCCGATTTCCTCTCACTGCTAAAGACCCCTATATGCAATCAAATTATTAAATTTTATTTGAACTATGTGTTAGTCCTGAAATGACCTAGTTTGGGTTAAGTGGATGTTAAACTCTCTCTCTCCCTCTCTCTCTCTCTCTCTGCCCTGGGCTGCCCTGAAGCTTAACTTTGAGGTATATTGACAGCTCATGGGGAATGACATTGACCTTCCGTTTCATATCTCAACCCTTGCAATGCACGGTCAACCGCTAGTGTTCAGATCAGTATGCTTTACACCATTTGTCCCCTGCCGAATATCATGGGTTTTCTCTAGGTAAGGACACATGTGTCCAAATGAATTATTTATTTTAAGTTGTACCGTATGTTAGTCCCAAAATAAGCTAGATTGTGTTGAGTGTATTTGAATATCTCTCTTTTTGTAAATGACATATTTTTATGTTATATAGGTCAGCAAAATTGGTTCTAAGTTTATGTTTCTATCAGGAATATTCATAGCTGGAGGCTGCACCATTCTTATGGGGTAAGTACATTACATATTACTTGGGCAGCCATATTTTACTAACTTAATCTAGGAATTAAGTTATAAAGTCACTATCACTTTTATTTCGATAATGAGCATTTTCGGCTCAGGGAAAGCTGAGCCGTAAGCAATTGGGACAAGGTAACTTTGATTCTAACTAATGAAGAGTGATGAAACTTAGTGTATAGTTTCACTACCAGGTACTTCAAAACCTTCACTGAGTATGATAGTGAACATTTTATGCTTACTCTAAGTATAGATAGATAATCCATTTGATGCTCAATACTTCTGAAAAAGATATATGTGCAATAAATTATTGTGTCATCTATTTATGTAGGTATTTCCACAGGGGACATCTGCCGCACTGTTGGCTTATCAGTTTTTAAAACCTGTTTCAGAAATGATAAATGTTATCTCTCCTAATCATTAGAATAATTGATGGACAAGAACAATCTTTTATCATCTTTCTGTCCGTTTTCTTAATTTAGTTTTATATGTTTTTGAAATGTAGTTGATGTTTCGCAGTCTGGCAACCTATCTTATAATTTATCTTTCAGTTCTCTACAATTTGTGCCATATACAGAAGGTTCTGTAGTGTTTGAAGTTCTGTTCTTCGTTCTACAAATAGCAATGTCAGTTGGGGTAACTGCTGAACAAACAGCAGCTTTTGCAGTAGCATCTAAAGAATTCAGTGGATTTTTTACAACTGTTTTTGTAAGTAATACAACATTTGGTTTTTATATATTATATATTTCAAGTATTTGTACAGACACAGCTCCTGCTAAACATACATTATGCACGAGCTAAATCTGTCTATTGCAGGTCTTTCTTTAGGTCTGAAATGTTATCTAAATTATTAATTAGACATTGATTAACTTATCCAGACCATAATAAACTCTTGATGTCATCGCTAGGTTACGATATTTACTGGTTTAGAATCCAATCTGCTGCAAATTCCCTTTACATTATCTAGTTTTTAACTATTAAAGTGAGAACTGTCAGCTCTTTATTTAATCTCCCAAAATGCCCCTTTAAGATAACTTTAATTGTAGTTACTCTCAGACTTGTATTTAATTACCTCTATCACAGCACAGCCATTACCAAGCAAGATAATTAAATCAGAAAAAGTGGATAATCGAGACTATGCTGTTTATATTAATGATTTTAGTAATGATAACCGAGACTATGCAAAAATTTCACCTGCTTCATTCCTGGCTCATAGTGGATCAATTTGACTGAAATTTTCAGCAAATTACCTTTACATTATCTAGTTTTTAACTATTATAGCGAGAACTGCCATCTCGTTATCTTATCTCGCATAATGTATCTTTAAGACAGTTCAAGGTAAAATTAATGTAGCAAAAAAATTTCTGTAGTAAAACAGCAAGCAAGATCTTAAAGATATGTTATGGGAGATTTGATAACGAGTTGGCAGTTCTAACTATAATAGTTCAAAACTAGATAACGTAAAGGCAATTAGCTGAAAATTTCATTTAAATTGATCCACTATGAACCGAAAACTAAGCGAATGAAATTTCTGCCTAGCCTCTGTCATCATTACTAAAGTCAGTACGATAAACAGCATAGTCTCGATTATCTATTTAACCGTTTAAGTGAGAAGGAAAGTTATGCAGTAAATCGGCTCACAATCCACTTAAGATTGCAGGCTAGTGATGCCATCTAGAGTTGATTATGGTCTGGATAAGTTAATTAATGTCTAATTAATAATTTAGATAACATTTCAGACCTAAAGAAAGACCTGCAATAGACAGATTTAGCTCTTACATAATGTATGTTTAAACCTAGTTCACAACCTGCCATATGGTAGTCTACGGGGAAAATTTTAGTAAACCTGTGCTTGAGACTGGACGAAGGAACTTTTGTACTGCACATACAATATTTTCACCCAGTTTCTTGCGGCTGGTCTGTGAGCTACCAAACCATACGACCCATGCATGTCAAAAAGGAGGCTTAAGTTTTGTTGAAGAGTGATCGTCTTAATAATACATGTTTTGGTTGTTTGTTTTTTTTTTAATTTGAAGCCTTAGATAAATGCTCATTTGTTTTCCCTATCACAAGGGATTAATTAATAAGCCATTATTTCTAAAAACTTAAATGTAATTAATTCAAAATGATAAATAATATTATATTAAAAATACTTTAGAAAATTAAAGCATTGGCTTATATAAAGCAAGGTATACAGCGAGTGCTTGTTAAAACTCCTTGAAGAATTTGTAAGATTAGTCAATTCAGGAGTTACAGCATCTTGTGGTTCGGAAACCTACAAAGTGCTATTGTTTCTTCCAATCAAGCCATAAAAATATTTATGAAAAATGTTTTTCATAAATTTGATTTTATTACAGGGTGTAACAGAGGTATTTGTTGGATTAGGTCTGACAATTGGACCATTAGTAGGAGGGGTACTCTCTGATGTAAGTTACTAATTCTTGTTTTATATATCTAAAATTTACCGTAAACTGAATAGTTTATTTATTACTGGAAGTAACTAAATTATCGTCTCAGTCTTTGCACAAAAACACAAATTTTAGTTGTTCAAATGTGAATGTTGCTTCTTCATCAGCTTTATGGAGTATAATTTCTTTTTCAATAGTAGATATAGTTCACAGGTTAATTATCATTTACAAAAGAATAGAATTTTAGAATGTTTTATTTTTATATTATGTCTTGCAAGGGTTATATACAATGGTTAGTTTGATTTTGTCGTTTATTTGAAATATTGTATTTTATTTGCAGGTTGGAGGTTTCTCTCTGCCTTATTTTGTATTAGGTGGTCTGGTTTTATCAAGTTTACCATTTAATTGTTATTTAGCACCATCTATAATAGGTAAGTTACACAACATGAACAAATAGAATGGACCAGGGTTCAATGTGCCTTAACACAACATTTGGGTCAATTTGAGACAGCCATATGGTAAATTTTATTTCTATGGTTATATCTGCAATGCAAGGTGGGAGAATTTTGCCTGAGCAGTGGGCTTTTTCCTAATCTTTTTCCATTTCCAACAGTCATGCATCAATTTATTTTTATCTGTCATTGAGAGATTTGATCAAAATTGCTGGGATTTTTCAGTAAATCCAGTACAACCTTTTTGTGGAGAATTACTGCCCCTTGTGCCCCAAAAATGTAAGTGCTCAGAAGATGAGATTGTTTGGTGTTTTTTTTAAAATTTGCTGGAATTGTTTGGCTGATCAGAGAGAACCCTATCAAAATTTAAACCTGCCAATCTATTTTCTGGGTAGTTCTTCCCCCTGAAAACTGGTGGGCATATATATTCACAGCATGGCTAGACTATGTTTTTAATTCCAGTCTGTCAACCATCAGCAAATCATGCTTAGAACAAGGGGTACGACTGTGGAGACACGTATATTTGATTAATTGTATATTTTTATATTAAATTAACAGATGAGCCTCTGGCAGGTAAATTACGTCGGAAATCTGGATTAAGTTTATTACGTCATCCATCTATAATTATAACATGTTTAGCTGTAGTCATAGGATCAGGTGTATGGTCTGTGTTAGATCCATGTCTAGAACCACATCTAGAGGAGGTAAGTCTTTTATTTCATGGGGGTGCCGGATGGCCAAATTATTGGTATATGCATGCTGTACCATAAGATCTGTCATTGAATCAACTGGTGTGGTTTCAATTCCCCGGTTGTACGTTACAAGGAGTAGGGTCACCTGTCCAACCTCCTGAGTTTTCTCCTATGCGCAAGCGAATTATTGAAATAAAATTGAACCATGTGTTATGTCTCGAAATGACCTTGTTTGTATCGAGTGGACATTAAACCCCATTTTTCTCTTTTATTTCATACTCTTCACGCTTATATTTACTCTTATATTATTTGGACAATTCAGATATTCGTCTTCATTAGCCCAGTTTAGGAGCAGAACAGTAGGACGTTAAACCCCATTTCATTTCGATGTACGTTGCATGTTTAAGTTCAACTATGATATAGTTTTGTTTAAAAATGAAATGGATGTTTTAAACTAATTCTAAGACACAAAGCAACTAATATATTATTTCTGTGATAGACATTTAGTAATTTAATAGTATTAACACCAGGTACAATTTTATAGATAAACAATTATTAGATATATTACTGTGTAATCCATAAAATTGTGTCTTGTGTTAACTAAATTATTGACAAGATGAAAATCTATGTCCAAATTAACATACTGTAAGACAAGAAATAAATGTGTCATAAATAAATGTATTATGAAATTAATGTATCATGAAATAAATGTATAATGAAACAAAATGAACGTAGGATATTTGATTTGATTTACCAGTAAATAATGTGTAAACTGTATTAATGTAACTGGATATACAAACATGTTTGTTATATAATTATAGTTTAATCTGACTCCAGCTACAATTGGTGCTGTGTTTTTATTATTATCTGCTTCCTATGCCCTGAGTTGTGCTTTATGTGGATGGATTGCTGAAAAACTGGTAAATATAGACTTTAGTTCCAGTGGATTGCGTCAGTATTAAGAAAAAGAATGTTATCTCAAAATATTGTAGACAAATCGCAAAATTGGTGAAACTTTACAAAACTCCAACATGATTTGAGCTATTTACTTAATTCATGTGAATCTCTATATTAACTAGCAGTTATCCACTATCAATGTCTGGAGTGTAAATATGCTGTTGACATGTCTAATGAGCATATGATTTTAAATGTAAGCATTGGTACAGGCTATATATCACACTGATCAGCAGTGAATATTCGCTAGGATGTTACAATCACTGATAAGGATGACATCAATGTGACTTAATGAGCCACAAATATTAACTTTTTTCCACTGACAAATTAAATTCTAAAACATTTTTTTGATGTATTAGAAAAATAAATAAAGACGTTCGACGTATTTGCAGGTAAAAATTATTTCCTATTGTGTAAATGTGTATTAAAATGACTAAAAGGCAGGATTCTGCCTGAAGCAGTAATGTCTTGTGTAAACAATGCACGCGCATCAGCCAATGATTGACGCCGGGTGCTGTGACGGCACGTGTTGAAGTCAGTCATCTTTTACAGATATATTATTAGTAATTCTCTGTGAAACAGATTGGCTATATATTACTAACAAACCAGATTACATAATTACTACCAACTTCCCATTAATTCCACTCCATTGGTAAACTAGGGTGACACTAGCTGGTGAATACCTGAATATCAGTTCACTAATTGTCAAGCCTGGAAATAAGGCACCTGTCACAGACAATGTCAGGCACAGATTCGGGCTTTGTCAGGCACATAACCTCTGTTGCCAGTCATTTTGTCCGGCACTGATTTGTCTTTTTTATTGATATTATTAATACATGTCTGGCACTAAGTTGAAAATGTTAGCTACCATTTAATTAGTGTCTGACATTTTGTTGTGTACATCTAAAACCATTATTTCCAGGCTTGCTAATTGTCTGTTTGTTTTAACCCTCTTCGTGGGCCTGGATGATGTATTATTTGTTTCAATTTATTACTCAAAAAATGAAATCAAATCTTTATTACATTGTTAGATTCTATATATGTTTATTGTGTTTTTTGTAGCCAGATAATCGTCTGTTAATGATACCAGGGTTTATATTGTGTGGTGTAGCACATTGTCTGCTGGGACCAAGTTCTTTATTTGGTTTTGATCCATCTTTCAAGTAAGTAAAACATAAAATATTTTCAATCATTGTTCTAATTTCTAAAACATTGTTGTACACTTGCTACAGTTGGTGGATAAATTGTCCTTTGAGTTAAAGACAGGAGAAGGAAAAGGCTTTTAGTCCTTAATTATTAAGTTTTGAAATTTTAAACAAACCGATGAGTATTTTATTGATCAATCACTAAAGATTAATTTGTTTTGACCTATACCTCCATATATTTTTACTTTATTGTTTCAGTCAATTATGGTTAATTATTCTTGCGTTAATTTTATTGGGAGCAGCTATGAGTATGAGTATAATTCCATCTTATGACATCATTATGGAAATTGCTATGTAAGTTCTTTTTCATTTGTTTTATCATGTTCACCACAAAATATATTTTGTTATAGAATTTAATATAGAATAGATATATAGAAATCACTTGTATATTCAACTGTCCATGTCCTTTTAAGTATAGTTTAATGGTCGAGTGCGAGACATTAAGTAATATATTGATATTGCACGAGGGCTATATAATCTATATATTACGCAATGTCTTGCACGAGACCATTAAACACATTAAAATACAGACACTATCCAACATGTGCATTCCAATGAAATATGTCACGCGGGTCCAGTATTTCAACTAGTATAAATAATGTATGCTTGGCACTTTACCCCATTTCAAATAATGGTACACCAACATCAAAGGATGATGTCACATCTGGTCAGATTCCACAGGGTACCTGTTATTGAAATATCTCCCATACCTCAGAAACATTAACTCCATACACATAGCTGAATTGTTTTACAATTTAAAAATACCTGTAGGCCTACAATATAAAAATACCTTTCTGACATGTGTAACATATTTTTCTGATTACATTAATATATTTTCTATATTTAACAGAGAGACTGGCTATCCTGATAGTCTGAGTACACATGGTCTGGTAGCTGGCTTGTGGAGTTCTATGTATGCTTTAGGGTAAGTTTACTTGTTTTATTTGAAAATTTCACAGTGGAAATATGACCTGAATAAACACAACAGTTCAATGGATAACAATTACTGTATTAGAGCTACATTTCTACAACGATTCTCTTGTCGTTTTCAAGGTTCACTGTTCTCATAATTAGGTGGTTTCACTTATGTTTTGATTATACATAGTATATATATTTTGTTCCTTCTGTCAATATCAGTATTTTCTTGAAAATGACAAGAGTCATTTTGGAAACGTAGCTCCAATAAAAATAAAGTATTTGTTATCCATAGAACTGTTGTGTTTATTTTAATGTGTTCAATTACTAAATTTTGTTTAAAATGACCTGATTTGCACTTAGTGGATGCTAAATTTTCTCTCATGCTCTCATGCTTTCATTCTCAGTGGTCAGCAGATGGCTTTCATCTCTAGTTTAGTGATTATAAAATATGCTCCATGCAGTTATATTTTATATGTTTCCTCCCACTGCTAAAGACCCCTACGCGCAAGCGAATTATTGAAATAAAAGTAAACCATGTGTTGGTCACGAAATGACCTAGTTTGTGTGAGTGGATGTTAAACCCCATCTCTCTCTCTCTCTCTCTCTCTCTTTATATATATTTTATATATTTTATAGAGAGTTTATTGGACCAATCTGGGGTGGCTATATACAAGATAATATTGGTTTTGCTGATGGTTTAACCTACACTGCAGGAGCATGTGTGGTCATTGTAAGTTTTATTTCATTTTGACATTCATATTTTCTAAGAAGAAAGGGGTTTGTCCCAAAATAGAATTATCCAGAATTCGTTTGTCTGAATTTGTTTCAGGAACATACTTTTCCACAAATCAAATTTTTACTTTTGTCAATTACAGATTTGAAAAAAAAAATAACATTTTCCTTTTTGACAAAAAATATTTGGATTTAGACTTAGCTTGGTCATTTCCTGGAGGAGAATTCAAAAACTATTCATGAAGTGAAAATGAAATGGGGTTAATGTCCTACTGTTCTGCTCCAACTGGGCTTATGAACATTGACATGCACCATACAGTGTACTATAAGAGAAATTTTGCCCGGACAGCGGCGCTGCGGCCTAATCTTATATACTATTCAAAAAAAGTGTTATTAAAGTCACCTAATGAAACTGACGAAGAAACAAATGACAAAATGAAATGAAGTTCACATTCATCGATTTATTCCAAATGATCGTTAGACTAAGTAAGGCACAGACTGACCATTATAAGGGTAAAATGATACCCGGGGTCAAACAGCAAAGTTACCACAGCATCACAACCAAGTCAGTAACGGGTAAATCCTCCTCTGTTTGCCAAACAAGCATTGATCCGACGTGGCATACTCCTAATGAGAAGACTAAGGTCATTTTGGTCCAGATTGTCCCATTCCTGTTGCAACGCAGCAGCAAGTTCTTGGACATTGGCAGGACGTTGTTGACGTTGATGTAACCTCTGTCCAAGCAAGTCCCAGACATGCTCGATGGGGGAGAGGTCGGGACTCAGTGCTGGCCAAGGTAATGTGGTGATGTTCTGTTGTTGGAGGTAACCTGTAACGATCCTGGCCCTGTGACATCTTGCGTTGTCATCCTGGAAGATGAAACGGCGGCCATGACGTCGTGCGAACGGCACAACATGGACTGCCAAGATGTTGTCCCGGTAGTACTGGCCTCTAACACGCCCTGCAACAACATGTAAAGCCGTTCTTCCAGCAACAGTGATGCCTCCCCACACCATAACAGAACCACCCCCAAATCGATCATGTCTGATGACGTTAACGTCTTGGAAGCGCTCGTTTCGACGACGCCACACCCTCCTACGTCTGTCCAAAAAATCAACAGTGAACCTTGACTCATCTGAAAACATCACATTGCTCCAGCGTCGATTATCCCAGTGTTGACGATCCCTACACCAACGACGTCTTGCCTGAATGTGATGATCTCTCAAACAAGGGATCACGCGAGGACGTCGGGTGCGAAGGTGACCCCTATGCAGTCGATTCCGAATCGTCTGGCCACTCACTCTCACACCAGTGTCTGTTTGAAGACGAGCGCTGATCTGATTTGCTGTGATGACACGATTTCTCAAGGCCAAGGTACGGATAAATCGATCCTGGGCTTGAGTTGTCGCCCTTGGTCGACCTGAGCGTGGTCTGTCCTGTACAGATTGTGTATCACGGTATCTGGACCATAGCCTGCTTATGACAGACTGAGAAACATTCATCGTCCGCGCCACAACCGCCTGTGTTGTGCCGATCTGTAGCATGCCAAGGGCACGTAAGCTTTCATTTTGGATAAGCCGACGCATATCAAAATTTGTTTTCTGGTCACTAAAACAATTAAACTGATGTTTCCACCCTGGAATTCAATGCCACAATGACTGTAACATTCAGAGTCGTGCAAATCTTGGGTTAGATCCCCATGATGATCCCAAGCATCACCTGCATTCCATGCGGTAGCTATTGGTGCGTTTGGGCGTCACATGTAACTGGAAATGTTTCTTCTGTTAGGTTCTATAGTGACTTTTTTCGTAGTCATTTGCATATTTTAGTATTATGCCCCCAAAATAAAATATCCCCTACTTTTTTTGAATAGTATATATCAAATTCCAACTGCCAAGGGATCTTTTATGTGCATGCCATTGTTTTCTTGGCACCTCGGTTTTCTGTTACATCCTAATGACTATACATTGTCCCTTGCCTGGCCCTGTGTCCTGCCCCACTGGAACCACGCTGGACATCCAGGTTAGTGAGCCAAGGTCTTACTCACTGAGCCAACGTGACTCCAAATTTTCAAGAAGTATGAAGCAAATTTTTTGAAATTGATCCAGATAAACTAAAATTTAAATCAAAGTGGCCTAAAGTTGTATAATCATTGGTTATTTTGAGATGGATGGTGACCATTTTGGCTTAAACTAAACATAAATTAGCGAATTTGATTTGTCGATTCTTTGGACACGTAGCTCTAATTGTAATTACATGTAAGTGAGAGTGGTAAAATGTGGTGCACAGTTTCATTACATCAATGCTGTGACTAAATTCGATAATAATGAGTCTCTTCTGCATAGACAAAGCAGAGTGATACACAATTTGGTTGCTTGATGCTTCATAAAAAGATACAAGTGCAAGTAATGGGATTTAGGTAGGGAACACCATATCACTAGTCTTACTTAGATTTCCACTCCTCTTACTTAGAAATCTAAGTAAGACCCCATATCATTACTTAGATTTCCACTTTTACTTTTTCTTCAATTAGGTGATTCTGCTAACAGCGATGGCACTGTATGATTGTTATTGCTGTGAAGCTGAAGATGATGAAAAAGAAATTCCAGAAAAACAACTTTTATTGCCACCAGAGGTAGTTAAGCGTATCAGATCACTCTCCGAGCCCATGTACAGAAGGGGACGAAATTTAACACCAGTTTTGGAAACTGTCTATTCTGAAGATTTTAGTAGTTATTCGTCCTCTAGTTCAGCATATTCAAACTCCATAGAAACAAACGAAAATGACAGCTATGTTTCTATTCAACAAAGTGATGTTTTTAGCTCGAACAACCGTAGTGATATGAAAAACTCTAAACCAGATGCAACGAAAATAGGAATTAATGGTAATGGCAAAGTAAAACAATATGGCAGCTTTTCCAAAACTCCATTTAACCCCGGAACAAATAAAAATGGCATTCCACAAACTGACACTATTCAAAAATCTCGCTCTAAGTCTGTGACTGCCGGTTATCCTCCCATTTCTGTATTTTATCCGGTGTGGGAGAAGGAATCTAATACCTTCTTGGAGAAGGATTCTAGAATGTTAAATTCAAGGAATTCACCATACAGTGTTCAAGATAATATCTCCACAGACAAAAAATCTAAGCCTACAGCAAGAACTTTAAGCATACGGCAAAGACTTAATAATGGCGGCCATGACAGTGATACCTGTCCTAAGTCTTTAAATAAATACCCAACTGAAAATGTAGACGAATCTGATTTGATTTCATCCAGTTGTCCAAATACATTGACAAAAATTACTGAAGTCCTAGAACCTACAATATTATCGTCTTCCGTGCCATATTCGACGTCAGAAATTAAAATTGAAATAATAACTGAGGTGCTTAGTGACAGTGTTTTTGTATCAGAGACTATTGTGAGAAAGGAAGAAATATATTCAGAACCGGATTTAATTAATTTCGATGAAGGAAATAGAGTCACAGTAAATAAAAATCATGTGCATGTCAACAATTCAAAACCGGATAGAGCAAATGACACAAGTGCTGCAGAAAACTTAACTTCCAAATATGGTATTACTGAATTAACATGTGATTCTAATCAACAAATAGCTAGTGGTTCTGCTACAGACGTTATTGTAAAGCAAACAAACGAAAAAAGTAGCCATTTGGAATCAGCAGATTTAAATTCGCAGCGAGATATATATCCACATGTTATTATTCAGCAACCTTCAAATCCCAAAAGTGCTACAAAAGATAAAAAGAAAGAAAGCGGAGCTGCTGCTCCACCAAATGAAAATAACGATTCTGTTTATACCTCACTCAAGGTCAAAGTTCAAAGAACAAGAAAAACCAAATCTGTTTCATCTGCCATTCAGTATGAAAAATCAGAAGTTGCTGTACAGGTGGTTAAACGGCCTCCAACACCAGTATCAGTAAATCCGCGGGACGGAATCCGATCACTTTTATATAAAACAATTGTAAATGCGCCTAGCAACCAAATTTCACAAGCTGTGGTACCAAAAACTATTCCAACATCTAAATTATTCAATCGAACTAACTCTAATCCAGGAACTAGTAAAAAACATAAAAAGAGAATCCACAGTATGTCGTTAAATGCTGATGATTCTTGTATACCTGATCATTATGCTAGTCTAGATTATTCAGAAATATATCGGAACAATATGCTCCCATAGATAGAGATTTTTTACGAATTTTATTTTTTCAATGGATCTATGAGAGTGTCGAACATAATCTTTGAATGGCATTTAGTGATTGAACATAATTTAACACAACCCAGTTCTATGGATAACAATCACTATATTATATACACACGTTTCAGTTGTAATTTGTATGCTTGATAACGACCAGTGAATTCTTGTCGAAAGGTTGTGTGTATATAATATACTGATAGAACTGTGTTGTGTTATAGTGTCAAATATATTTTATTGAATAAAACTGATTAATTCTATGTGGAAAACTCTAAAGGGATGCTCATATGTCATTGTGAAACTGGATACTTTTTAAAAGAAATACCAATTTTCTCAAAGTTCTCATATTCCAATTAAATTCTGTGATCATCATTTGAGTGATTTGTAATCCTCTGTAAACTAGGATATTGTAAAAGTTGAATCTCTGAAAGGAATGTCAGTTCCAAAATGGTTCATTTCCATTTAGGATTTACAAAGATATGATAAATTGAAAATTTGTCAACATTCAGCATCCTCTGTAGACAATATAAATAATTGGGATATGATCAAAACAAGCAAGCCCTTTGGACCTTTTTTTGAAACCACATTCATAATGACTTGGCTCCGAAGTGAATGTAATTTTTGTTTTCTGGTTGAAAGTTTTAATGATTCTTGAAAGTTTCTAATATTTCAAAAAGAGTAAATGTTCTTTTAGTGTAGATCTATATGATGTTTATATGATGTGATGTTTAGATTTGATCTCATGCAAAGAATTATTAATTGTTGTATCATATGCAGGTTGTGTTAAAGATGCTTGATGTGAGAGCTAAATCTAAGAATGCTTCGGCCATTTAATAGTATAACGATAAAACAGATAATCCAGACTTAGTATCAATTGTCAAGTAATAAACAGTCTACACTCATTTTGTCAAAACTTAAAACACTTATAACTTTACACAGAATAAAGTAGTTTGAATGAAATTTTCAATATATTCATTTTCCATTATCTATTTTTGAACTATTATAGCAAGAACAGTCCGGTCTTTATCCAAATCTTACATAATGCATGTTGAAGAGATATTAAAGTATTTACATATTATATATAAGCCTATATATTATATTGTTATGGTTTTTGGGTGGCCGAATGGACTAATACATACACTTGAGATCATTCATATACATGTAAGTTCAATAATCTAATTCCATGCTTGTACATGACAAGGAGTTGGGTTGTCTATCTATACATGTTGGCTTTCATTATTTTCCTCATACTGATAAAGAATCTGGTGTGCAAGTGAATTAACAAAAATTATAATACATGTACAGTATACGATATGTTAGTCCCCAAACGGCCTTATTTGTGTTGAGTGGACATGAAAGAATTTAAAGTAAACCTGATTTTTGTGTTGTTTTCAAATGAATATATAATTATATTAAATATATTTTATGTATAATGTAGTGTAAATGTTATGTACTTTATATATGCCCACATTTAATGTGGGAAAATTTTGCTGGTCTTTCTAGAATTGCATTTCATTTCATTGTTAAGTTAAATGTGAACTCATTTTTATCTGATTTTAAAGAAACTTTGTATCTAGACAATGCATGTGTTATTGACGCTGTATGATGTGACACCACAGGTAGACCTTTACTGCACTTCTTTTTTTCACAGAGTTAAAAGAAGGCTTTGGCATTACCGCTAATATGAAACAGATTGGTATTTTATCAGTTTGTGCTGGATTCATTAAGAGTACCGGTATGTGAATATTGCTCACACTTGAGCAATTGTATTTTTATAAGGCATTCATGAATTTATGACATTTTATAAAGCAATATTTTTATGAACCAAATATTTTTGAAAGTATTAAAAGCTTTAACCTTCTTGCTGTGAAATATATTTTGATTAAAATTAGATCTACATGTATATACTGTTTTGGTTTTGTATTTTTATTGTTTTCAGTTAACAGAGACCTTAGAACATCCTTATCAATTGTTTATTCTATCAAGCTTTATATGGAAGTATAGTAGGGTGAATTTGGACTCAATAGTAAATGTTTAATACGTCATGCTAATCCGCACAGTATTACATAATTCAGTCAATTATATTTTAATGGATCTTAATCCACCTTAATTACCCACCATTTATATCTACTTCATATTGTCTTATATATTTCATTAATCACCTGTCTCCAGTATTCTTTGTTTTAAACTTTAAATTGAGCTTATAAATTATAATTAACGTCAACGGGCTATAGCGTTTAGTTACCAGGGTATATTGTTTGTAGATTTATAGGATTAATGCCCTAGGCGATGCATGGGGATATATAGACCCAAAATGACAGAATTTGGGAAGAGCTGGCTACACACGTGTCTTGGGAGATCAACTTAGATCACATACCTAAGGACAGACCTTATTTACCTGTATTTGGAGACATAAGTTTATGTCAATTCCCATATCCACATTGGAGCTTATTTACTATTAAGCATTGGACCAATAATTGTTATATTAATTGTCTGTTGTGATATTTGTTGATTACTGTTTACCAAAGAATATAGAGAACTATTAACAACCATCAACAGTCTTGTCTTCTTTTAATCAACAACGAAGATTCCAGAAAATACACGAAAAGTGCACTTGTACAAATGGGGAGATTGCTTTGAGTGGCAAGATTTCGTTCGTACCTCAAACAGCCAAGCGAGAAGTTTAGAACGAGCTAGAACACCTTCCAACAATATAAATATTCAAGAAAGCAGAATTGGAAACCAACAGTTCCGAGGAAGAAGAAACCACAGCTACACTAACCCTAGATAAGCAAAAGCGGGAAGAAGGCGAAAATGTTTCTGTCATCTAATCCAAGATATCCAGACCATGGTGGAAATTCGTACAGTCAAGACTTTGGAATATTCAGGCCGACGTCATCAAATGGAGCTTTAGATAACAGAAGACAAAAAGGTATGTGGTCTTTTTATCAGGGTAATCGCCATGCGCCATCGAGTTATTGTCAGTTTAATTATCAAAATCATAGTCCTCGTGCTCTTGCTCCTAAACATGAGTATAAAGTCAAACGATCTGTTTCTTTAAATGTTCAAAGAAATAAAAATAAAACATTTGCTAAAACCGATCGCGACTCTAAAAGAAAACATGAATATGAAACGCGGAAATTCTTTATGAGGCAACTTCCATTTTCGCAAATTGGCATACGAGCGTTTCATGAAATGCAAAATTTAAATGGCGTGATAAAGCAACAGTTAAAAGCAGTGATGAAAAAATTAGACGTTGCCCATACTATTAGGAACACGCCTGTTCAAAATCTAAGCCATGATAAATGTAACATTGAAGCTAATAAATTAAATAGGAAAATCTCTGAATTGACCTCGGAACTTGAAAGCGCGCATAAACATAAACTTGAGATGCACCTTGATCTCGACGAATTGTTACGGTCTAAAGAACAATTAGAAAAGACCCATGAAATCGCTATGCTCGAAATTGAAAGATTGGGCGTGAGAGAAAACTTTTTAGAGTCGAGTAAGAGTGACGTAATATGCGAGCTTATTGAACATCAGAAACAGATCGAAGACCTTAAAGAAGAAAATGAACATTTAAAACAAGATTTGGACGAATGTTACGACTATGATGAAAACGATATTTATGATGGTCCACCCAATACTTGGCCCTGTAATAACGGGGACGATTTTTATGATGGCCCACCCAATACTGGTCCATATGATAATGGTGGCAACGATTTTAATGATGGACCACCCAATACTTGGAAGTATAATAATGGAGATGATTTTTATGGGGGTCCATCGAATATGCGTCCATATGATAATGGAGCAAACTATTTTAATAATGGCCCACCAAATAATTGGCGAAATAACAGTGGACCAGTACATAAAAATAAATTTAGAAACAAATCTTTTAACAAGCGATTTTAATTATTTTATTTACGTGATAAAGACTGACAATACAATTACCTTGATAAGCCACATACCTATTCCAATTTATATTTATTAATATTTGTATTCTATATACATAGTGTGTGTTGCATTATGATTTTTTATATTTCTGTTTTATAATTTTTATTAAACCGGGTGAGGGCACCCATATCCACTATATGTCGACTCCCATCCGCTTTACAGAATTTGTTAATTTTTATATTTGTACTTATATATGTTGATATTGATATGATGTATTATGATTGTTTTTATATGTTGCCGATTAATATTCGGGACGAATATTTTTTTAAAATCTGGGAGTATTCTAGTAGGGTGAATTTGGACTCAATAGTAAATGTTTAATACGTCATGCTAATCCGCACAGTATTACATAATTCAGTCAATTATATTTTAATGGATCTTAATCCACCTTAATTACCCACCATTTATATCTACTTCATATTGTCTTATATATTTCATTAATCACCTGTCTCCAGTATTCTTTGTTTTAAACTTTAAATTGAGCTTATAAATTATAATTAACGTCAACGGGCTATAGCGTTTAGTTACCAGGGTATATTGTTTGTAGATTTATAGGATTAATGCCCTAGGCGATGCATGGGGATATATAGACCCAAAATGACAGAATTTGGGAAGAGCTGGCTACACACGTGTCTTGGGAGATCAACTTAGATCACACACCTAAGGACAGACCTTATTTACCTGTATTTGGAGACATAAGTTTATGTCAATTCCCATATCCACATTGGAGCTTATTTACTATTAAGCATTGGACCAATAATTGTTATATTAATTGTCTGTTGTGATATTTGTTGATTACTGTTTACCAAAGAATATAGAGAACTATTAACAACCATCAACAGTCTTGTCTTCTTTTAATCAACAACGAAGATTCCAGAAAATACACGAAAAGTGCACTTGTACAGAAGCACTATCTAGATATTGGATACAAACGTAAGGTTAAATAGTGCAAGTGCCTTAATCAAATCAAAATTTGGTTCTATTAACATTGATTTTCTATTTCATATTTGGTGTGATGTATTGGGGTCACAAGGTTGTTCTGCAACCTTCCATTCTGGAGTTCATTTCATTCATGTAGTAATTCTACTGAATTAGAAGTGATTTTAGACGCATTATTACCCCTGAATTTTGATTATGCACCTACGTAGGCATAATACTTAGACTCTGCTTGATGTTATTTTGAAAGTTTTCCATTTAGTCGTTCGGATGAGACCAAGGTCCCGTGTATATATTGGAATGCACGTAAAATATCCCTTGGCAGTTGGAATTCAATATTAGAGTAGGCGATAGTGCCGCTGCCCGGGCAAAATTTCCCTCATAGCAAACTGTATGGTGTATGCCCGTCTTCATTAGCCCACGATAGGAGCAAAACAGTAGGACGTTAAACCCCATTTACACGTACCTGTGTTTCTATGTGGAGCAACCTACCAAGTTATAGTTTATACAACTTTTATAGATTATAACTTTTATAGTTTCTTTGTAAGCAATAACATATTAAATGGGTGCAAATTAAGTTTATTCAGTATAAGTGATAACAAAAGTATATTTTAAAATACATTTTTGGCAAAAGACTTGATGACAGGTAAATGCATCTTTTAAAAATAACAAAATTCATAACAACTGTAAACAAACATGATTTATCAACCTTTTAAAGATTAAAAATGATTACATAAAAGAAATAACATATCCATGAACAAATCAAATTTCAGATATTATGAACGATATTTAACAATTAATTCCCTTGATTTAGCTACATTTAATGTCAAAACCGAAGAGAAAAATCATGTTCATTATGCAAAATAATCATAATATCAATTAAATAATCAGTTTTCTAAAGCAAAGTTAAAGAATGGGTCAAATACAGCATATCAAATTCCATATATTTTAATTATAAATAGTGTTAGTTTTATAAACTAGCTTCTCCTACTGGAAGTACAAAACATTTCATTTTTGACAAACTAACCCGCTGGTTGACTGTAATACTGGACTTTAAATGCCACTCATAAAATCATTTTTGGATGGTTCTTTTAGCCAATGAGGTGGCCATGAATTTTTTACTGAAGCACGATCTTTTACACAATTATAATATTCAGACAATGCTGGGAATTTACTCAGATTCAGTCCAAGACGAACAAAAAATGCCAAATAAGGAAAGAAGTAGACGTCAGCCATGCTGAAACTCTTGGATGCAATAAAAGCTCCACTTCCCATCTGTAAAATAAATACACAAAAATTTCACCTCCAAGTTTAAGGTTCAAAATTAATGGGAAGTCAGTAGTCCTAAGGCCGAGGCCAATTCTGATATGAACCCTTGAAGTCAAACAAATTTCTCTGAAAATTCTTCAGGCCATCATGCTTTGAGGACCGGCACTTGGATTTTGGTGTATGATGCAATAAATTAAATTGCAATAATATTCATTTTTGTCAATTATTTAACATTGTGATTTGTTCGAGTGTTAAAGGTCATAATCAAATGTGATCAGCCAGGTAAATGTAATATTTATCACAGTTTTTAAATATTTATTTCCTATAAGACAAACAAGCAGATGCTATTCTCAAGAAATTAAAAATTACATTGGTGAGGTAAAAGAACTTAATGCAGAAGCACGATACCACAGGGGTATATATTCTTCCAAAATACCCTTTCCCTGGATGCTGTTTTTTAAACTTTACCGTTTCTTTCTATGTACATTTCCATGTTGGCACACATGCATTTTCTTCTTATACCTTACTTTTCTAAAGTAGGTTTCATGAATAAAGGGTACGAAAAATAAATAATCGTTGGTACAATGTCAGAAGAAAATCAAGACTATTGAAAGCATTAGTCTTTTGGGTTAACAGTCTAGTACATTTTGTTCTTAACTAGTGGGAATGTACTTTTGTTCCTGGATAAATATCTGTACAAAGATTTATATATCTCTGGTGTATCATATGGTGCTGGTTTCACCAATATTAATATTAGTAACATTCAAGCAAGTAAATGTCTGACCTTTTGCATGTAACCTTCCCAAATCTGTAATTCTGCTCGACCCTTTTCAAACCTTTCCTTTAACACTGCCTAAAAGTGGGAAAATAACAAAATATGTTCACAAACATATCTGGATAATTCTGAATTTGCAAAATTTCAGTTGAGTGACCTAAAATCGAGTCCTGTCACAATTTTTTCCGGTTCTGATAACAGATATGCTTCTGGATGTTGATGTTATCAACCACATTCTTCGCCTATCCTCGTTCACAATTCTTTGAAATTAAGGCATTTCTGTGTGCATTAAATTCTATATTAACATGTTATATAATTGAAATGAGGTATAACTTCCTAATTTTCCTTGTGTTATATAAAGCTATAGTTGTATTAATTAGGGTATGGAAATTAGTAATTAAATAACATATATTCCTTTGGAGATGATAAAAATATAATATATCCGATTTGAAGTACTACATTGCTAACATTACATTATATACAATATTGAGAAAAATGCGTCAAACCATCCCTCAGACATACACATACTGAGTGTCAATTTACAAGTTGTAAAATTTATTTTAGTAGTTTCATCAACATGAAAAATACCAAATTATAATTGGGTATGTAAATGAATAATTAAAACGATTCTAAAAGTTATTTTGGATATGATGTTATTTAAAATGTGATAATGTCTCTTTAATTATTACCTCATCTCGATTTTCATCTGTGGTATCAAACATATAATAATAAGCCAGTTCTTTTAATACTGTATTTTCTACATTAAATATCTACAAAATATATTGTCATAAAATACTGTATTTTCTACATTTATAGATATCTACAAAATATATAATCATAAAATACTGTATTTTCTACATTCTACAAAATATTTAGTCACAAAATAATGTTTTTAACTTTTCCTTAATTCTTGTCCCCACTTACATCCATAAATTAAAGGGCCACTCTATTCTAGACATCTTACTCATCAACAAAATTAAGGTCTACTGTCTGTGAAACTGTTTTTAATAAAGGGATTTTATCCTTTCAGATCAGGGTCAACCCATGGTAATATTCTTACATTGAAAATATCATCATTGTAGATGAATGTGGGTTTTCTATCCTATACTTCTTAAAATTCTGAATGTCGAGATAACTCTTTATGTGTGCTTGTCTCCACATGAGTACTCATTTCCACATATTTCTGTTGTACCATGGGTTGAACCACGTTGCTTTCAGACCTGAAGACAAGCAAAATCAATTATCTTACTTCATACATCCTTTGTAAAACATTAGCTTGTTCCTTGACATCGGATGGAATCAGTTGTGTTCCTTGGTTGCCATATCTACGCTGTAATTTAAAACAGGTACAAAGTTAAGAAGAATAACATTATCTTGTAACAGAAAACTAATCTATGATATGCAGTGTCAAAGTTTAAAGAACAAAAATAATTAAGCACATACTTAAAAATAGGATTTTAATATCGATACTTGACAAGTGCTTGACATTTTTAACCTTGTGTCTGACATGTATTTAAAATATTAAAGTATTTCATAAAGGGATTATGTCATGACATTGTCTGTGACAGATGTCTTATTTCCAGGCTTGTGGACATAATCACTACTGACAGAGAATATAATTACAATTAGATAATGTAGGAGATAAAACAGGCTATGTAACCAGGTATCAGTGACTAGCTTTGTTGGTATTGAACTCTTCAGATTGAAATGGACTTCAGTTGCAAGGTTCTATTATTACTATTATTCCAAAACCTCGTTGGGATAACAAGGGTAAAAATTTGGGTGGGTTACCAGTGTCAGCCCTTTATTTGGTGAGGAGTCGGAGCCCAAAAGGGGACATCTGGGAATGGGGCAACCATGGTTGTGGATGTGGAAGACTATGTAAATGATTCTATAGCCTTGTTCAGGTGGTTCCAGCTGTTCGAGTCTGCTGTTACAATAGCTATAAATAATTCAGTAATCACAGCTAGGGTTTGCTTAGTCTTTTTAAAAAAATATGCACCTAAAGCAAACATTGTGGACATTCCCCTAAAAATCACAATAGGACTGGACAATAAAATAATTTCATCTACCTCCAAGTAATCACAAATGGCCCAAGACTCATTCACAACAATATCTCCATCTTTAAATGCTGGCACCTGAAATACAAAATTTTACATAAGTCAATAATTTTCAAAATACAGTGTGATATAATATATCCTGTAAAATTTATCATAATGAAAGAATTGGAGGCAGACCACCAATTACATGTACTTCTCCTATCTCGGTACCCATAAACATAATGTAGTTCCTTCTATTTATAGTCTATTAATGTAAGACTGATTAATTATGTAAGCATATGTGCAACAAAGAAATAGAATATCAAAATTAAAGGAACTAAATCGCCATTCTTTGGAACCTAAAGGGAATGAAAAAGGTATAATCTTATATCGTACTGTATCATTTTATTTTTAAAAAATGAGTAATTTCTGATTAGTTAAGATGTTCAATCATCCCAAATTGAGTAGCAATCTCCGTCGGGAGTATGGTTTGACATTTCACTTATAGTTACAGACTGACATTTTGCCGCGTTTACCAATGGCATTCCATTCCTGAACCTAGAGTATGCAGGTACCCCAGGTAGACTACCCCAACATCGACTGATTTTAAATGTTCAGGGTGTCTTTTTTAATGGTTTAAACCTTTACTTTTCGTGTGCATACAAATTGGCTGCCAAATGTCATTACTGACTTTGATTGATTCAAGAGAATGAGTATTCAGACTGCACGATTCATCAAATAGGTCTATTTATTCAAACCTTAAAATAGATAAAAATGGGTCTAAAAGTAGCACAAATTAACGAAGCGGTAATACGAATGTCTATATAAAATGAATTATATTCAATTTTTAAAATTTCTATTACAATTTCTAATCAATTTGCTTGGTGAAATCACTAAAATATACTATTCAAAAAAAGTAGGGGATATTTGATTTTTAAGTGTTATTAAAGTCACCTAATGAAACTGACGAAGAAACAAATGACAAAATGAAATGAAGTTCACATTCATCGATTTATTCCAAATGATCGTTAGACTAAGTAAGGCACAGACTGACCATTATAAGGGTAAAATGATACCCGGGGTCAAACAGCAAAGTTACCACAGCATCACAACCAAGTCAGTAACGGGTAAATCCTCCTCTGTTTGCCAAACAAGCATTGATCCGACGTGGCATACTCCTAATGAGACGTCTAAGGTCATTTTGGTCCAGATTGTCCCATTCCTGTTGCAACGCAGCAGCAAGTTCTTGGACATTGGCAGGACGTTGTTGACGTTGACGTAACCTCTGTCCAAGCATGTCCCAGACATGCTCGATGGGGGAGAGGTCGGGACTCAGTGCTGGCCAAGGTAATGTGGTGATGTTCTGTTGTTGGAGGTAACCTGTAACGATCCTGGCCCTGTGACATCTTGCATTGTCATCCTGGAAGATGAAACGGCGGCCATGACGTCGTGCGAACGGCACAACATGGACTGCCAAGATGTTGTCCCGGTAGTACTGGCCTGTAACACGCCCTGCAACAACATGTAAAGCCGTGATGCCTCCCCACACCATAACAGAACCACCCCCAAATCGATCATGTCTGATGACGTTAACGTCTTGGAAGCGCTCGTTTCGACGACGCCACACCCTCCTACGTCTGTCCAAAAAATCAACAGTGAACCTTGACTCATCTGAAAACATCACATTGCTCCAGCGTCGATTATCCCAGTGTTGACGATCCCTACACCAACGACGTCTTGCCTGAATGTGATGATCTCTCAAACAAGGGATCACGCGAGGACATCGGGCGCGAAGGTGACCCCTATACAGTTGATTCCGAATCGTCTAGCCACTCACTCTCACACCAGTGTCTGTTTGAAGACGAGCGCTGATCTGATTTGCTGTGATGACACGATTTCTCAAGGCCAAGGTACGGATAAATCGATCCTGGGCTTGAGTTGTCACCCTTGGTCGACCTGAGCGTGGTCTGTCCTGTACAGATTGTGTATCACGGTATCTGGACCATAGCCTGCTTATGACAGACTGAGAAACATTCATCGTCCGCGCCACAACCGCCTGTGTTGTGCCGATCTGTAGCATGCCAAGGGCACGTAACCTTTCATTTTGGGTAAGCCGACGCATATCAAAATTTGTTTTCTGGTCACTAAAACAATTAAACTGATGTTTCCACCCTGGAATTCAATGCCACAATGACTGTAACATTCAAAGTCAGAGTCGTGCAAATCTTGGGTTGGACCCCCATGATGATCCCAAGCATCACCTGCATTCCATGCGGTAGGCTATTGGTGCGTTTGGGCGTCACATGTAACTGGAAATGTTTCTTCTGTTAGGTTCTATAGTGACTTTTTTCGTAGTCATTTGCATATTTTAGTATTATGCCCCCAAAATCAAATATCCCCTACTTTTTTTGAATAGTATATTTAACTAAACCAAAAGATGCTGTTCATAACGGTATAGTTAATGATAAAGCAATTTAATCAAGCCAACAGAGAGGCTGGTGTCCCCCGCCGAAACCCCAAAATAAAAAGATGACACATTAATTAATCGCACATTTATTTTTTTTTCCAAAGTATCAAGCAATCAAACTATACACACTAATTTTCATCACTCTCTATCAGATAGAATCAAGATTATCTTGTCCCAAAGCATTGACCAATGAAATTGATTAGCTCTGCTTATCTTCAGCTCGAAATGTTAATCATTGAACTCAGTCAAGACATTCACTTAATGAACATCTACATCAAGTCTAAACATTCTACCTCAATTAAAAGCAGAGTTGTTATGTTCCAAAGTCTTGACCAATCAAATTGCTTATCGCTTATTAGCCTAAGCAGAAAATTCTCACCATCGAAATAATGAATCTATATTCGGAGTTCCATTGCTCTCATTTCATTATAACCAAAGTTATCGTGCCTCAAAGCATCAACCAATCAGATTGGTTTTTTCTGCTTACCCTAAGCAGACAATGTTCATCATAGAACTCCACCAAGGCATTCACCTAATGAACGCCTACACCAAGTTTAAACATTAACTACCTCAATTAGAAGGAGGGTTATTGTGTTCCAAAGTCTCAACCAATCAAATTGCTTATCGCTCTGCTTTAACCCTCAGCAGAAAATATTCATAATCGAACTCATTCTGAACATCTGAGACACGCTACCTGCGGAGAAGTATCTCAGACACAGTCAGTAGCCATGATATCCATATCACGTGATCGACACATCACAGGTCATGACATTGGCGTCAATGGGTCATGAGGTTAACATTGTAAACAATAGGTTTATCTTCAGCATTGTGTCCGTTGCACCCATAAAGACTATATAATTCGTACAGTCCCAACATGTTCCCTCTTCTTCCAATGATTTTTCACAAAAATAACATCTACAACTCATAGAATTGACGTTGTCTTCAATGACAGCGTCTGCGAGGGTTGTTCATAGAGGCCGCCATATTGTACTATTTTGTGCGTCTGTCGGGTCTATTTCAGATATACACAATCAATTCTGTTGATGTTTTTAGCGTTGGATTGACTAATAGTTAATGTGTTTCAGTTCTAAAACAAATATTTTAAACATTAACGCAAATTTAGAAAGTAGCCAAATTCTGGCTGGGATTAATGAGCAAAATGGCCATTCACTGTATACGTGCTAAAAAAAAGCTTGCCACCCAATTAATTTTCGTACGTTAGTTACGTACGAATCGAACTTAGTCAAGGTATTGATTTAATAAAGCTATACCCCAAAGTGTCGTCACTCTCACTTAATTAAAGTTATTGTGTCTCATGTATATCAACCAATCAAATTGCTTATCTCTGCTTACCCTAAGCTGAAAATTCTCATCTTCGAACTCCATCAAGGCATTCACCTAATAGACACCTATGCCAAGTGTGAACATTCTAACTCAATTAGAATGAGAGTTATTATGTTCCAAAGTCTCGACCAATCAAATTGCTTATCGCTCTGCTTACCCTGAGCAGAAAATGCTCATTATCAAACTTAGTCAAGGTATTGATGTAATGAAACTATACACCAAGTTTCATCACTCTCACTTAATTAGAACTAAAGTTATCGTGTCCAAAAGCATCAACAAATCAAATTGCTTATCTCCGCTTACCCTAAGCAGAGAATACTCATCTTCGAACTCCATCAAGGCATTCACCTAATAATTGACCTAATAAACACCTACACCAAGTTTGAATATTTTAGCGCAATTAGAAGGAGAGTTATTGTGTTCCAAGTTCTCGACCAATCAAATTGCTTATCGCTCTTCTTACCCTGAGCAGAAAATGCTCATTATCGAACTTAGTCAAGGTATTGATGTAATGAAACTATACATCAAGTTTCATCCCTCTCACTTAATTACAACTAAAGTTATCGTGTCCCAAAGCATCAACCAATCAAATTGCTTATCTCTGCTTACCCTAAGCCGAAAATGCTCATCTTCAAACTCCATCAAGGCATTGGCCTAATAAACACCTACACCAAGTTTGAACATTGTAGCTCAATTAGAAAGAGAGTTATCGTGTCCCAAAAAGTGTGACGGACACGGACGGACAGACAGACAAACCCATTTTAATAGTCCCCCGAGCTGCTTTCTTCGAAAGATGGGGGATATACTTTCTTCGAAAGGCGGGGGATAAAAATAAAACGAACGTTATTTCTAAAGATGCTGTAATAACCAAAAAGCTAAATATTACTGCTATTCAGAATGTGCAGAGAATTTCACGTGCGATGGTTATTTAGACTCATTATAGCACACTGATCTGCAGTGAATATTTGCTTGGCCGCGACAATCACTGATAAGGATGACATTGATGCGGCTTAATGAGCTAGAAATATTAACTTTTTTCCTGCGACAAATTAAATTCTAAAACATTTTTTGTATATATTGGAAAAATAAATAAAGGCGTTTGATGTATTTGTAGGTAAAAATTAGTTCCTATTATTTAGTGTAAATGGGTATTAAAATGACTAAAATGCAGCATTCTCTCCGAAGTTGTTATGTCTTATGTAAACAATGCACGCGCCATTCAGCCAATGATTCACACCGCGTGCTGTGACAGCACGTGTTAAGGCAGTCATCTATGACAGAGATATTATACTAGACTCGTAATTCTCTGTGAAACAGATTGTCATTATAGCCTCAGCATAGAATTAAGCGTTCACATTCGCCGTGTCGAGTTCTTTCTGTACTCTAGGGAAAATTTTCGCTTCACGGGCACTCTACCATATTTTCACGGCAAGATAAAAACATCAATATTATTTGAATTGTCCAATATTGAATTCTAATTCGTGTTTTTAATTTCCAATATTATGGCAATTAATGGGCCTACCAGAGGTTTAGGACTAGCTCTTAAAGGCTCTACGCTACTATTACTATTGCTATACGACGGTAAATGGGTAACTAAGTGGCAAAACTCGCCGGGTGTGGTAGAAACCAACCTGTCCACGAGGGTTCAGTTTCGTGACATACTCTGCTTTGTTTTCTTCGTTGTCGAATGAGATAAGTTTGTTTTGATAACCACCGAATCCCTTCTCTTCTAAAGCTATCATTGCTTTCCAGCAGGGAACACTGCCAGTGCCCCAATAAAGAAACATGTTGGACGCCATTTTTGTTATATAATTGGATCACATTCGGAAAACCTCGGCAGATTCCGTACCCTGCCGATCTGAATCAATGACTAAGAGTCTGCGCAACGAACCTGACTTTACTTTTTTTAAATTTAAAGGGATACTTCCAGCGAAATAAACTGGTCACGATCAAGATTTACGTTGGCAACATTTTATTAGCTTTTACCATGTGGTGTTCCCCAGAAAAGCGTACCTGGTTCAATTCTGTTCACTATTGTACAGGGATATGAGTCTTATCAACACATATTGATGTAAACCACCACCTCTATGCAGATGACACCTCTCAGCGGCGTGATATTTCCAATATGGAATATATTGTATCCAAGACATCAAAGCATGGATGACACAAAATATCCTGAAACAAAACGATGACAAGACTGAAGCGATAGTTACTGGACCACAGACTCCTGTGAACAAATTTAATTTTAACTATATAGTAGTCGAAGAATCCGAAACTACTCTCCCCGTCAGTCAGAAATTTAGGTGTCCTCTTATGAATAGTCATATCAATGATCTTACCCGGAAATGTTACTTTCATCTGAAAAATATCAGTCGGATTAGAGATAATCTAACACCCGGAGGAACAAGCACACATGTTCGCTCCTTAATCCTATCTCGTTTAGACTATTGCAACAGCCTTCTTGGTGGTGTGTCAAAAGAGTTCATCAAGAAGTTACAAAAGATACAAAACACTGCCGCTCGGATAGTGTCTCGTGCCCCACAAACATCTCATGTATCACCAATTAAACTCTTTACACTGGCGGCGAAGGAAAGGATTGATTTCAAGATTCGATCGCTGACCTATCAATATGTATTTAGCACCATCCAGGCCCGGTGGAGTGGGGGAGGGGCGCAGGTACTCTTCTCCAGGTTATTGCAGGCGGTTAGATAAAACGACGCCTGGTTTTAACATGGAAGAAAAACCTACTATGCTATATACTGATCCCTGGGTTGAGAGACCCCCAGTTGCGAGGGTCCCTATTTCAACCACATCTCACTTGCGTTGTATCTCTATGACAGATTAGGTAATTTAAAAAACGACAGGATAGAGTTTTTTCCACACTCTTTCCTTGTGTCCTTTCAAATAATTGAACGCTATGAACAGTTGAAACAAACGATTGTCATGCAAGATAACCTACAGTTTACAAGAAATGTAAGAGGTAAAATTAATATAGGGCTCATCCTCTCATTCAAGATCTTTTGATCCTTAACATATTTGTTAAGTTTCCTCTGAATGAGACTACAAAATTCATACGTATTTCACATTTTGCGTAAAAAGCAGGGGCTATAGCTCTAGAATGTAAGGTCTGATGCGTACCAAAGTCGAACTCATCCAAGAATGGCAAAGTGGGACAAATGTCCCCCCTCCCCACATTTAGGGGCCCCCCACAATTCTCGGCCATACTAATAATTTATCCCGGACGGAGACAACCAGTACCTGGACTGAGGGGGCGAGGGTTGGGGCCCTGGGCAGTAAGGGATATTGGGGGCCCTGGGACTACGCTCGACGATGGGCCAGGAACGTTTGGTAAATCTCTCATTAATGTCGATCGAGTATGATGTGGTTAGGGATCTCGATATTGAAAACATCATCTTCACCTTCGCTCTCCTGAAGTCGCGAAGGAAGTCGTTGTAAATAACTTTCTCAGAGGCTTCCTTTGCGAATTTAGGAGGCCTTGTGCTCTGGTGTGTTAACTTACTGTTCTTGTTAGAAGTTTCCTTCTAAAACTCTTTACTGACATTCATTGCTGATCGGCGTTTAATGTTTTATGTCACCTAAAATAATTTCACTAAAATAAAGTAAATGAAAACATCATAAGAGAAAGAGTCTGTTTCAAATACTCAAATTGTCAACGAATTCTAAACGTCAATGAAATCACTGCCTAAATTGTCTCAGATGCACTGAAATTAATCCTAATTTTAAAAAAAATCCTGGAGGAACACACCCCAGGCACTCAAGGGGGCGGAGTACATACTATTACGATCCCCGGTCAATACGAACAATTTGAACAAACAACAATGGGGCACTGAGTCAAATCACACGTACTTAATGAATTTGAGTGATATATTTAAATATAGAAAACAGTGATAGTTTGGTAAAATCCTTACCATTGTCAAAATATCCATCAAATACCATCTTGTTTATGACGTGTTTGGTAGGCTAAAAAAGGTAATGTTCCCCCTCCGGTGTTTGGAGAATGAGGATGTTTATTCCATATTTGGGAAGGAAATTAACGACTAGGGGGTTTTAAAACAGAGTGTTGAGCGAAATTCATCAGAACTCAGACTTTCCGAGCAATCATCATCTATACTTTATTGAGAATGAGGAACACTGAAGCCCAGCAGTTTTAATAAAGTTGTAGAAACGAACTAACCTGTAGTTTTATTTACGATCACAAAGGTTAAACACAACAAGGAAGTCCGATTTTGCTACAAAGCTAAAAACGTGATATTTCGTATAGTCCGATTTTACTACAAAGCTAAAAACGTGATATTTCGTACAACCAGGGGTCATAATCCAGAAAGTTACGGTCCGTTACACGCCAATATCGAAAGGAACCCAGACCTTTGGGATAATATATCAAATTGGATGAAAATTCGAACATGCTTTTAAGGGTGGAGGACATTTTGTCGGGCATTTTGGTTCCGATTATTACGAAATTTGCGCTCAACCGTAATTAAAGTGTAACGGTGATATATTTGAACGGTTTTTACAATCAAATAAAAACTGTAAGTTCTAGAGAGTCCACAAACCAAAAATGTATGTATGTATATATATATAGGAGATTTCGATTCCCCGGTTGTACGTGACAAGGAGAAGGGTCGCCTGTCCAACCTCGTTGGTTTTCTCCGGGTCCTCCGATTTCCTCCCACTGGCAAAGACCTCTACATTCTACCGAATTATTAAATGTGTCGATTCGTAAGTATATTGGTATATTCGTAAGTAATTCGGCATCTCCGTAACTCATTCGAAACGGGTCTCTTCAATTCCTTTAGATGATTCTTTGATTGCGGACTTTTATCGTAACCCTTTCTAGATACATTAGGCATATTTTTCATCCGATTACCTACGAATTATCGTAAGTCTTTCGTAAACTTTTCGTAACTGCTTCGTGGCTTCTCCAGATTCTCTACGATCTTTTTTATTTTTTTGCCTAATCGCCACGAATTTCGATTCGCCACTATTGGGGGCGATTCGTAGCATCCCTAGACCACACGAAAGCCGGGCATAAGAACAGTAAACAAGGAAATTATTAACAACTCATTGTGAGATGAACATTTATTTGAGTAACCAACAAATATTTGTGCTTAAAAGTTTGTTGACAAGCAATCAATGAACCAGGAAGGAAGATGGGTAACGAGTCATGAGTGTGATTACCATCTTGTTATAGAAGACCTATATCTGCTTTTCCGCCTTTAAATTTTATTTAAATTATTATTTATATATTTATTCACATGAAATAATCAATCCCCTAGCCCATCGGATGACTGAGATTTAAATGGATTTGAACGCTCCCCAGATTTAAAAAAAAAATCACGAATCAAAGTTTAATTATATATAATGTCCATTTAGTTGAAAATGACAAGTTACCATACACAAGCAGAGTGTGCTCTTCCCTGTAATCACTAGGGGCGAGTCTCTAGACCAATTCTAGCCCCCCCCCCCTCTCGCGGATGATTTGAAAGTGCCCTTCGAGGGCTTAACAGTAGTACAAGTGCGGTGGCTTGGTTTTTGTCGATGAGGAGGTGGGAATTTGGGAACAGTTAAGGTGTGAGTCTAACGTGAGTGCGAATCACAGCGAAAAAATAGTCGCAGATTCCTTCTCAAATAAAACTGTGTATATCTGGCGTGGCTGCCAATGTGTCCCTTAAAAGAGGTGCTAAATTCCTGACAGAGAGCATTATACCATAAGTTAATTCAAGACTCTCTCCGAAAGTGAGGCTAACCTATTAACATATTTTTTGTAAATTTTGTCCGTTTTCCATTTCGGTAGAAAGAACGTGTGTTGTCACAACCAGATGATTCTGTTTATAATCAGACTGAATACAAGCCGGGAGAGTAGCCAGCGTTGATATTTGTATTTCATTTTCTAAATTAAATGTTCAATAATCAATTTTAGTACACATTAGCGTGGATTAGGCAAAGAGAAATTTGATATTTTCCGAAAAATACAAATCAAGCACGTGACTTTAAAAAATAAATAACCCTGTAATTATTAAATGTACTACTCTGTAGAGCAGTACGGAATAAAGTCATCTTTGAATTGTGACATCATATCTAAACTAGAAATCCGTCAACCGAAGTATTGTCCAATGAACTACCCTGCCAAGTTTTATGTCAATCTAATCCAGGTAAGATAGCATAAGTGCGGGCAGTGGATGCAATAAAAATGCCGACCGTCTAGCATTATATTATCACCTAAAAAAAGATCGCAGTCCGAGATCCGTGCACAAATGGTCAAAGTGGCGAAAATCCAAAATGTCCACCGGGTTGTAAATTTCAATGCCCTCCCAATTATCGTAATATGATCGAGTTTGGTATCAAAATATACGTTCTCTGGGTAATTGATTCCATTGTCATATCATACACATTTTTGTGTAAGTGTTACCACTGAGTCAAGATGACTGTCAGTTTTGGCGGGAAAATTCGAATTTTACTTAATGATCAAGTTTGGTGTCAAAATATACGTTTTCGAGGTAGCTGGGAATCCATTTTTGTACATATTTTAGTGATTAAGTGATTCCCCTGTGTCAATATTGGAGATATTACGATTAGGTATTTAGATTTCCGATTAGGGATTTGAGATTTACGATACTCCTACCTTAGACTTAATACAATGACATTCATACAGTATCAACTAAATATCATTTGGAGTCCCTCCCTGCTTATTGCGGTAGCGGCGTCGGCGTTTGTCGACTGGGGCCACTCCCGAGTCACTGTGGAAGCTGATCAAGCACGTATTGAAGCACGTGGCGAATTTTTCTCACAAAATGATTCAAATGTTGAGACATATGAATACAGTATCGCCTGTTTGTCAGATATGCAGTGACCTATTTGATAAAGAACAGCCCACCGTTATTCCGAAAATAACGGGTATTGGAGGCTGTAATAAGGCGGTTAAGCTGAGAAATTATGGTCGTGATTTCGAGCTTGGTGAAAAATACAATGTGGAATGTCGCAACTTTCACTATTGCACAATGTTGTAACGCTGTCTTTTATATGGTCTGTAGGAAAGACTAGTAGGCGGCCCATTACAACAAATATAATCGGTGACCACTATTACAACAGTAAACAGTAGAACTCACAACACCTATTTTTTGGATTTGTCAAGATAGGACAAATGGCGAACATTCCCTACAATCTCGCGAACAATCGCGTGCTCTAACCCTATTTACATCTCAGCGACCTTGACGAAAATTGTTCTGGCCTTAATAAATAGATTTATCCTTTATAATATCCATGCCACATATCAAACTGATGACGTGAGATCAACCTTCACCTCGCATCAAAACAATACCAAACCATACGGAAAACTATTACTGTTTCTTACTGAGCATCATTCCGACTGCATGTGATTATCCGTATTGTGTCAATCAATGATACAATTATAAAAAAAATATGATTGGTAATTATATAAATGTATTAAAAAAACACAATTAATTCATGACCAATCCGAGACCTGCCAGGCTCATAACTATTTTGAAATTATGAACTTTAAGCCAGTATGTGAGTTGAATATGGAACTTGAAGATCTACCTATGTTTTGGTGGTTTTCATAAATATACTAATGTCCAAAAGAAAGTATACACTGTGCATTTTGTGCTGCATCAACCAAAGTCTTTTTTCCATGGTATACGGTATTTGGGTAGAATGTCAATTTGTTTCACATTTTTAGTTTGCTTAGAAATGTTGAGTTTGGACGCAAGAGACAAACTCAGTAATGCTTTATCAAATGTTTTTAATCTAAACAAAACTTAGTTTTAGTGTGTATACTTTCTTTTGGACATCAGTATATTATTCAGAATTATGACCAACGAGAGACCTGCCACTTGAAGATGACCTAAGCTAATTAAGATAAAATAAAGAATATTATGGAATGATTACGGTAATGCATAACATTTGATAATACTAACTTTGTAAGTGGTGATAATGATGAGGAAATTCTAATGATAACATCCAGTATAATTCAACCCATTTTATCTGAAAAGTCAAGCAAATTAATTATCAGATTTTTAATAATAACAACAATCAGAAATTTAACTGATATTATTAATTGATAAAGGCATAAGGACGCAAAAGGGTGGTCACCAAAAAAATTAAAGCAATTTATCAAGCTGTGATAGTGATTTGTACAAATTTAAATGACACCACCAACTTTGTTAATTAAAAGAATGAGGAAATTTAAATCGACTTAAAAATTAAATCTTATAAAGTTGACATTTATTTTCAAAAAACAAGACGCCCTAAAATGGTATTTCATCTATCATGGGGGTTTCATAACTACACATATTACTTAGGGGAAATCATGTCAGAAGATACCCATAAAAATGGGGATTTCATGAAATCGATGAAAATATATTAAGAGTTTCATGAAATCGATGAAAACCCCGAAAAAAGGGAACGCGGAAATATAGGGATATGCGTATTTTTTTTTATTAACACGAGAAGATGTCTTCCATTTAAATATATACAGAATAACTTTTAACTTGTATTCGCTTAAATAGTCGCTAATGTCTAGAACTATTATCCACTCTCAATTCATTTTCTTCCAACTTTATTATAATCTGTAGTTTGTGTTTGTCATACGAGTACTCTCTCCCAAGGGAACCTCAGTTAGCACCTTAATTGCGCGCGCCGACGCCCCCACCCCCTCATCATCGAGTGAGTTGAGCGAGGAACGCAGTAGTGGTACCGTAGCGCAGTCCCACCTAAGTTACACCTTACGAATAACGAACAACGAAACACAATTTAACTTCGCACTGCCGCGCTCTTGCTCATCGAAGCCAATCACGAAGCACTACAAGATACGTATTTCCTGGAAGATATAAAAGTAACTGGGTCAACTCAAATACCTGAAGTGTAATATTTGGGCTATGACATTAATTTATCATGCTCCGGCACGCTGACCTTTTGTCAACTTACTATATAACGTATGAGCGGCAGTCACTGGGGATGAGACTACTCGCTCGACCGGAATGCGCCTGGCTCGAATCCCGGCAGTCGATCGTGATGACACTACTCGCTCGACCGAAATGCTCCTGGCTCGAATCCCGGCAGTCAATCGGAATGAGAGTACTCGCTCGACCAGAATGCAACTGGCTCGAATCCCGGGGTGTGCCGCGAGAAGACCCTACGGAAATCCGGAGAGGCGCCTGCAGGACTTATAAGACGACACATGTGTCTTGTTCACCCGTGTACACGCAGAGAACAAATACTTGGAACAATGTCTTGACGTAAAATAGTTATTTTCAATTAAATTCGAAATAATCAACAGGAAACCGTGTCATCGATAAAATGATTAGTAGAGATATGTATCACGTGATAAAGACTGCCTTTCCTATAAAACTAATTGCCTGATTCGTACACTGGCATGGTTCATTTTTATTTATTATCGTTTTTTTTAAATATTGTTTGTTTGCTGCAAAAGAAGTGACTAATTCACATGATATGGAAAAATTATAATAAAGTTGGAAGAACATGAATTGAGAGTGGACAATATTTCTAGATATTAGCGACTATTTAAGCGAATAATGACAGCAGTTACAAATTAAATACAAGTTAAAAGCTATACTACCGACTTTCATCAGATCAGGTGAGTAAAATACTATTTATTGATAGTTTATTTTATAGTTGGTGCAGGAATAGGCTGATAAGATCTAATAGGCTACAGAGGCGTAGCCGTGAAATATATATTGGGGGGGGGGGGTCCGCAACCCTAACCCCTAACCCTAAACCTAACCCATTTTTTAAAACCCCTAAAAAATATAAACAAACACCATGTGGCCATGCTGTCTACCAAGACACCGCGTGCAAAAGCATTATGGTTACGTTGCTGGCTGAGCGGGCGATATATATTTGGTTTAGGCGGTAATGTTTTTGGGTACCTACCTGCTATTCGCTCTGATAAGTGGCCGAAAAAAATTAACAAAATATTACTGACAGGCTAACTAGACACAATTTTATGGAACACAGGTACTTTTCACTTCACACATGTTTCCAGGATGATTATCTCTGTGTTTTATTTTAACAGTATAAACCATATTGGGATATGTACAGGTTTTATACAGATAGAATCTTAATTAATCCTAATAATATTGTTGTAAATAAATAGGAGTTTGGGCCTACTATGTAAATTTGGAGGGGGGGGGTCGAAGTATATTCAGACCCCCCAGAAAAACAATTGGGGGGGGGGGGGTCGGACCCCCCAGACCCCCCCCCCCCATGTGTGACGCCCATGATAGGCTAGCACATTTTGATGGATTAAATAGGCATTTACTGGAAAAAATAACATAATTAGGAACTGAACAAGGCGAAGCTAAGAAATGGCGCGATTTCTGTCCTTTGCACTAATTATTACTTGCCGTCTTGCATTCGCACTAAACCCCATAGCGAAGTGAAACCGCGACAGACCGATCTTAGGACCATTAATTTGTCGTTTTGGCTTCGCTTCGTTAACGCGAAGGCAAGCAAGATCGAAAAGATAACTATTGGATTCAATACAGTTTTGTCATTCTGTTAACACTAATACTATGAATTTTTGTGATTTAAGGTAATATAGAGAGACAAAGAAACATGGTTTACCTGATGATTGGAATATTACTTGGTTTATCCTTCACCTTACCAACTCTAATGGCCACCAAAAAATGTCTTGAAACAGTGGACGCACAATACGGTGGACTTCACGCAAACTGTTCTCACATTAAAACTTCAAGAGTTCCAGAAGATCTTCCTGATAACACCACAACCCTAGATCTAACCTTTAACAACATTAAAACTCTGTATAATAATGATTTCAAATATCTGACTCAACTGCGATATCTTGATCTCAGCTTTAATCCTATTGATACTTTACAAGAATTATCATTTCATGGACTTGGTTCATTATTAGTTTTAGAATTCAATGGACACAATTTGAATTATACAGACATTTCCATGCCTTTGGGAGTTTTTACCCCACTCCAATCCCTGACAAATTTAAGCCTCAGGTCTAACGATTTACTTTTTCAAAACAGTCAATTCAGTTTACCAGATCGAGTCATAGGATCCCTAACAAAACTAAAACAGTTAAATATCGACTTGATTTCAGATTTTCATTTTGGATTTTCTAATTTAACAGAACTCAAGGAACTCATCGTTGGTGGGACCTGGAAACACGGAAAATGGTTTCAGTGTGAATCGTACTTTAAATTAACAACCGCAACTTTCAAGGCTTTTTCTAAAATTTCTGTTCAGCTACTTCAGCTAAATAGCTGCATAGTTCACAGTTATGATGAAGAATTCCTTCGTCCATTCCCCGATTTAAAGACACTGTTATTCAAAAATATAAGTTTGCTTTATGGCAATTTTTCTCGCTTGATTCAAGTTCTTCATGTGTTTGAATATAAGAATATGACTGAGATCAGTATTAATCGAGTTAAAATATTTTTACCCTACATCGGATATAATCGACAATTAGAACTACGATCACTGGCCAAGATATGCTTGGAGGAACTTGACTTGAGTCAAAACGTGATTAACATTATAGATTTTGACGTTCTATTCCGCATACCCTATCCACCCTTGACCAAATGTATAAGGAGGCTTGATTTATCAGCTAATCGCATCACAGGGACTTTAAGTTTTTATCGGGTCCCCTTTGTTTTAAAAGTACCGCCTATGCTGGAAGAAGTGAACTTATCAGACCAAATGAAATTCTCCTTTAATGAATATAATATCCGATCATTGCCCCCTAAGGTCTATCGACATTATGCAGATCCAATACCATTTTTTCTCACCAGCAAATTGAAACGTCTTAACGTCGCTGGATTAACACATGCAATTGGAGATATGAAAGTTGATATTCTGTTTATTTTCGCGAATAATTTAGAGTATTTGAATATGTCTTATTGTGGACTGTACAACGCGAAACATAAAGTATTTGGACTAGGTAATTTAGACATTTTGGATGTTAGTGGTAATTCCCTAAGCATTATAAATGTGACATTTTTTGACGAGTTTCCGAATCTAAGGACATTGCGTGTGAGTAACGCCCAGTTAGATAACGATTTTCTTGCTCAGAATGGTCTTAGAATTTTCAGTCCCTTACAAAAGTTGGAAAATCTCGACCTTTCTAGTAATAGTCTTGTGTTTTTACCTAACGATTTCTTTAACTCAATGGTTACATTGAAAGTACTAAATTTAGCCAACAATAACCTTATAACTATACCAGACGTAACCCAGTTGGTTAAACTAAACTCGTTATATCTTAACCATAATGCAATAACTACCTTAAGCCACCAAACTAGAGACATGTTAGAGAAAACCAACGAAAACAACAAGAAGTTCAAGTTACATCTTTGGGGAAATACATTCACTTGCACCTGTGAGGAGATTCCATTTTTACGTTGGGTAGAGGAAACCGACGTTGATTTGGATGGTAGCGATTATTCTTGTGTTGAGTCATCAGGAATACTGACCTTCACTAAAGCCGTTTATAACCAATGGACATCCTTCAACCGAAATTGTGTTTCGTCCTTTTTGTTGAATTTAACTATTGGGGGATTCGGTATTATCACTCTTACTTTGATAGTGGCCTTTGTCTTTCTGAAGAACAAAATGAAACTCAAGTTATTGCTTTTAAGGATGATTGGAAAAAATATTTACCCAAAGAAAAGAGATGATTTTGTGTATGACGCATTTATAATATACACGGACTCTATCTCCGGTTGGGTTTGTAATGAACTGAGAAATGAATTGGAAACAAATCGAGGAATCAAACTGAACCTTCGTGATAGAGATCACATACCTGGTGGTTCTCAAGCCGATGACTTGTTAGAAGCTATACGTGACAGTTGGAAGATTGTTTTAATCTTAACCGAAGAATTTTTGAGAAGTGATCTAGCCTATTTTGCCATGTGTAACTGTTTATCGTCAGTAACACTGACAACACCCCAGAGATTAATCGTTTTAATTGATCATCAGACAAATATTACAGCTAATCTCGATTTTCTTCTTGAAGCTGTTAATGAGGATAGCATTCTATACGTAGATCTTCAGCATCCGTTAACTATTGCTTTCTGGGACAGGATATCCAATGTCATTAAATCAAAGGAAGGTATAAACATATAGCGTAAAATAAAAACAGTTTATTTGCCGTCACTTAAAGCCGTTGATCATTAGTTGTATTTTTCACACATTTTCAAAATTTTCACGGCGTAAACAACGCTAAAATGTTCTCACATTTCTTTCAAATCAGGAAATCGCCCGGCATAGATTCGATCGGATTAAAAAATAAGACCATCCAACGATTTTGCCCAACGCTTATAGGTGTTTACATCGTTCACAGAGGATGCCGAATGTTGTGAAATGTTCAACTCACCAAATCGTTCTAAATCCTGAACGGACAAAACCTTTTTAGGGGTTCGCGTTTCAAAATATTCTAGTTTTCAAGCGATTCAAAATCGCCTAAATGACGTTCAGCGGCTTTAATGTTCACATTTTACAAATGTTTATAATTGTTATTTTCTAATGGAAGCTCTACCTGCTAGAGTTTTCGGAAAGAGACAATCCACAGTGAGGTTAAAATGTAAATATTGTGTGTACTAGTATTTATGATAGCTTTATATAATTTGCACGGGGCTAAGGACGACATAAAATGAGCATGGATGATAAAAACCAATATATGGTCACCTATTATCGCAAGGAAATGAAATGAAATTGAGTTTAACGTCCTACTGTTCTGCTCCGAACTGGGCTAATGAAGGCGGGCATACACGGTGAGGTTAAAATGTAAATATTGTGTGTACTAGTATTTATGATAGCTTTATATAATTTGTACGGAGCTAAGGACGACATAAAATGAGCAGAAAAGATAAAAAACCAATATTTGGTCACCTATTATCGCACGGAAAATTTTGCCACTTGGGGGGGTCACGGTGGCTAAGTGGGTAAGACGCTGGCTCGCTAGCCTGGAGGTCGGGTGTTCGATCCCTGCATTGGCCGAGAAAGTTCACCCAGATTTTTCGGCGTGGTTCCCCCTTGTCAGTGATGCTGGACGGAGGGCCTGACAAGGACAGCTGTCTAGTCGTTCGGGTGAGACGAAAAACCGAGATTCCGTGTACACATTGGCGTGCACGTAAAAGATCCCTTGACAGTTGGAATTCGATATAAGAGTAGGCCGTTGTGCCGCTGTCCGGGCAAAATTTCCCTCATAGCACACTGTATGGCGTACGCCCGTCTTCATTAGTCCAGTTCGGAGCAAAACAGTAGGACGTTAAACCCCATTTCATTTCATTTCATTTCGTCTTACCCACTTAGCCACCGTGAATGTTACAAATTTAGTGTAGATAAATGTAGTATTTACCGATTTCCTGGTAATTATGGGACTTTCTGAAGCCTACAGTACTGCACATAGTTCTCACACGCTTCATTATTTCCGTTGTGCAATTTAGGACCTGTTAAATTTAAAGTCTTATGATTTTTGCTTGGCAAACTGCATGTTATAATTTAATATACTACACGCTGTCACGCTTATAATTAAACAATACACAAAGTTTGACGGTGTCCACTCCACTGAATGTATCAAGATTAATGTAGTCCTCTGACAATTTCTGGAGAAATAAAAATTAGATTTTATCTCTGGGTAGTTTTCATTATCAGTTATATGTAAACAAATCAAGCTGGTACCAGTGTATATGATTGAATTGCCGGAGGTGTCGCCAACAGTTAGATTTCGTCGAATGTCGGTTTTTATTGTGCACGTAAATTCCCCGTCGTCTTGATATTTATTTGAAGTCCCAGCGCGCCATTTTAGCGCTATAGAAACACTTGCTAACTCCAATATTGTGAAAGATGTATCACAAGCTGATTAAAATACAGATTTATATTTCGTTTCGTTTTTTTATACTTTCAATGGCTTACACTACATAAAGATCTGACAAGTTGTACCCGAAGGTCGTGCCAGGGTTCGTACAAGCGGCTTTTGACCATATGACGTCAGACCGATAGCTCCGCACAGGGCACGCCAAGAAGTCGCCGTAACAGACCGTTTCATTGGCTAATTCCTTACATTATCTAGAACGCCTGTTATATAACAACTCTTTCAGATCCTAGTGTAGTAAAGACAAGTAAAAAGAAATTTTGAACTATAAAAAACGAAACGAAATAGGATCCGCGTTTTAATCACTAATATTTACAAAGATATGAGGAATTGAAGTTTCATCGATCAATGCTGATCGCTACGCAATAAACCCACCGCCATTTTGCCAGACAGACCATCCGTCCTGCACCACTGACAAGGGGGAATCACACTGGAAAGTCCAAAAGAACTTTCTCGGCCATAATCGGGATCGAACACGCGACCTCTAGGTTAGCGGGTCAACGACTTACTGACTCAGCCACCGCGGCTCCCGGAAACAGAAGGACCAGGAGAAAACCCACGAGATTGGACAGGGGACCCTGCTCCCTGTTACGTACACGCTGGGAATCGAAATGATGCCACATGACTTTATGACAGACCTTATGATCTAAAGCGCATGCGTTAGATCATTAGGCTACCCCCACCCCCTATTAAACTCCCCGAAGTTCATCCAAAAATGGTATTTGTCAAATGATTATTATTATAAGCACTAGATTATGACATAGCTATTTCTCAGCAATGTACAAACAGAATGAAACATGTTTCGTCTTCTGAAGTCCAAGTCGTGAAGGGAGTTATTCACGTGTCGGAGTACGTGTATTCTTTCAAAATTATATATCGTTAATATAAGTCTTTACAATGATGTGTCTATTCTTATGGGCAGTAGGAGCCACGGTGATTAATTGGGTAAGACGCTGGCTCGCTAGCCTGAAGTCGCGTGTTCGATCCCTGCATTGGCCGAGAAAGTACATCGGGATTTTCCGGCGTGGTTTCAACATGTCAGTGGTGCAGGACGGAGGGCCTGACAAGGACAACTGTCAAATCATTCGAATGGGACGAAAAACCGAGGACCCGTGTATACATTGTGTGTACGTAAAAGCTCCCTTGGCGGTTGGAATTTGATATAAGAGTAGGCCATAGTGCCGATGCCCGTCTTCATTAGCCCAGTAGGAGCAGAATAGTAAGACGTTAAACCCCACTTCATTTCATTTCCGTGGGCAGTACTTTTTAAATATCCGACTTTCTTCAGGCTATATTTAGTATCTCCGGTAAATGTTTCAATCGTTGAGGCGAAATCCGGGTTAAACTTACATGGATGGAACAGTCGATTAATTGGAACCCAAATTACCATCGGAACCTCTACTTTCAGTTGTGCAAAGACGATCTGAAAAATTTAGTAGGCTTGTTTCACGATAAAAGTGTGTCTGGAGGAAAGATGGCGACTCCTTTTACGCAGTGCGCAAAAATGTCAAGAAGTTACACCCCTCTCACAATTAGTTTAGGACAAATTCAGCCCCTTCTAGCCCTTTTTACAAATGAAATGAAATGGGGTTTAACGTCCTACTGTTCTGCTCCTAACCTGGGCTAGTGAAGACGGGGCCCTTTTTACAAACTTATAGCATCCGGGTTACGGCTCTGCCTTTTAGTATTGTATACTATATAGGCACAGAGTAAACTATGTGATATAGGTGTGACTAGATTTTGCTGACGTCATCCACTGTCATGGTTGCAGTGTCCGGGAAAACGACTTTCAAAGTCCAGCTACGTTGCTCCGCGAGGTTCTAGGGCTGCCATTTGGCATTTGGGACTGCCAAAATTGGAGATAATGAGTATGCGAGAGAAGTGAAAAGAATCTCAAATTCCGGGACTACAAAACAGTGAAAACCGGGAGAAAACTCTACAGGTTATATCTGGAAAATTAGACATGCGGTTTCCATGTTTAAAAAAAAGTGTTTAGGAGGCAGCTATAAAAGACATATTCTCGATGAAGATATGTATAGGATATTAATCTACCCGAGGTTGATATGATAGACATGGGCGTGAATTTAGGAAGGGGGAAAGAATAGGTCTCTGTCCCCCCATGGTTTTGTTCGCCAGGACAGATTTTCAGGTTTATATCCACATGAATGTACGGAAGCTCAAATACGAACTATTTTTGTTTATTTCTTTTCCTATTTTTATTTCAATTTTTAATTTTGAAAAAAATTAATTTCTAATTTCTATTTTTAATTTTCGATTTTGTACAATAATTTTCAATTTTTTAATTTTTAATTTCTAATTTTTATTTTTTATTTTCAATTTTGTAAAATAATTTCTAATTTTGTAAAATAATTTCTAATTTTATAAAATAATTTCATTTCTAATTTTGTAAAATAATTTCTAATTTTGTAAGATAATTTCTAATTTTGTAAAATAATTTCTAATTTTGTAAAATAATTTCTAATTTTGTAAAATAATTTCTAATTTTGTAAATTTGTTTTCAGAACCATCAGACCGCCCCGGTTCACTTACATCTTGTCAAACCTCGTGGGTTTTCTCCAGGTCCTACGGTTTCCTCCCACTGCAAAAAAAACCCTACGCGCAAGCGAATTATTGAAATAAAATTAAACCGTAAGTTAGTCCCGAAATGACCTAGTTTGTGTCAAGTGGACGTTAAACCTCATTTCTCTCTCTCTCTCACTTACTGGTAGTAGTTGCGATGGGACAAAAAATTGAGGTCTCGTGTACACATTGGAGTGCACGTCAAAGATCTCTTCGCAGTTGGAATTCGATATAAGTTTAGGCCGTAGCGTCGCTGTCGGTCGGGATAAAATTTCCTTCATAGTACACTGTACGGCGTAGGCCTATGTCCGTCTTCATTAGTCCAGTCGAAGCAGAACGTAAGTAGGACGTTAAACCACACTTCATTTCCCTGTCGCCATGGGACCCACGGTGGCTATGCGAGTAAGACCCTGTCGGCAGAGAATTTTCATCGGTATTTTCAGGCGTGGTTTCCCCTTGTAAATGGTGCAAGGCGGAGGACCTAACAAAGACAGCTGAAAACTCGAAGGCCCACACATTGGCGTGTAGGTATTTTCAGGCGTGCCCCCCCCCCCCCTTGTAAATGGTGCAGGACGGAGGACCTAAGAAAGACAGCTGTTGAGTCGTTCGGATGCGATGAAAACTCGAAAGCCCGCACATTGGCGTGCAGGTAAAAGACCCCTTAGCAGTTGAAATTCAATACAAGAGTAGGCCGTATAGCGCCGCTGCCCAAGCAAAATTTCCCTCATAGCACACTGTATGGCGTATGCCCGTCTTCATTAGCCCAGTCGCAGCAGAACAATAGAACGTCAAACCCCATTTCATTTCATTTTATTTTATTCAGTGTTCCCATTTCGTTGATAACAGACGCTTGTATATACATGTATTCGGCCTACCTCGTCTATTTTTATACTTTTATTTGACCTCGGCTGCACACCTTCCAAACGCGCTGCCTTTAAAGAAAATTGCGACTAACACGCCTTTTTAAGAACTGTTTTTGTTAAGCGACACGTGTTTATAACCAGTAAACCTACGACCGTACCACAATCTCAGGCGTATAGCGGAGAGGCATATCAAGCTACACCGTACAAGCGAGCAACATGACACGATGATGATCAAGGAATCAGTCGAGGTTTGCCGAATGGTCCTCGAGAAAAACAAAATGGAAATTAAAATACAAAATTAAAAATTAATTTACAAAATTGAAAATTAATTTACAAAATTAAAAATTAATTTACAAAATTAAAAATTAATTTTCAAAATTAAAAATTAATTTACAAAATTAAAAATTATTCTACAAAATTAAAAATTAAAAATAGAAATTAGAAATTATTTTTCAAAATAAAAAATTAAAAATAGAAATAGGAAATCGAAAAACAAAAAGTAGTTCGTATTTGAGCTTCCGTATGAATGTCCCGTTCTGAAGGATATCTAACAACTGCCTTGGGCCTCGCCACAGTTACTGATCTTCACGATATTTTCCTACTTATTTGTAGGTAGTCAATTTTTCCATATTGTCATCATATTGCCCCTATTTACAGCTTTCATCGAAATAACACTGATTCAGTAAACTGTTTGTAATTATTATTTTGGTTTGGTAATGAAGTGTTCCAGGTTTCGTCCGCCCCCCCCCCCCCCCGCTCCTTTCCTGTTCCCTTTCCCTTTCCAAAAGCCCAAGTGTTCTCGATCATATCAATCCGAGGGAGGGAAGGCTTATATCCGACATATACAGTATTAATCACCTTTAAATTAATTGGACTCTTTCATTAAAAGTGAAGGGGGTCACGCTAGCCTGGAGGTCGGGTGTTCGATCCTGCACTGGCCGAGAAAGTTCATCTAGATTTTCCGGCGTGGTCCCCCCTTGTCAGTGATGCAGCACGGAGGGTCTGTCAAGGACAGCTGTCTAGTCGTTCGGATGGGACGAAAAACCCAGGTCTCGTGTACACATTGGCGTGCACGTGACAGATCCCTTGACAGTTGGAATTCGATATAAGAGTAGGCCGTAGTGCAGCTGTCCGGGCACAATTTTCCTCATAGCACACTGTATGGCGAATGCCCTTCTTCATTAGCCCAGTTCGGATCAGAACAGTAGGACGTTAAACCCCATGTCGTTTCGTTTCAATTAAAATTGAATAATGATTGGATAAATGCTCGGAAGTTTCCTCCAAATAACGAAAATTACCGAACTAATCACGTGCATGCATGTGAATGTTATTGTTTATACCCAAATACTGTCGCCATTTTGGAGTAAATATAGGTTCAATTGAATTGAGAACAACATCAAAATGGGTAGTGATACGATATCAGACGAATAATCAATCATTTTTAGCCAACAGATATAGGCCTAGCCTGTTCCCCAATCCCATTCTTATTGAATAAAATATAGTTTAAAAAAAACAGATTGACGAGGATGGAGAAAATTTGAATCAAATGGCAATCTTTTCAGATAATTGTGACAGTGAAACTTGAAAGTTTTCGGTATGTTCACAGAAGGATTTTACCGGCTGTGTTAAGTGGACTGTACCCAAAAATACATAACAAAGGAACTCTTGGGCTATAAATACTTTGAAGTCTTGGAGTGTGTGGAGAAATAATCGAAAATTCTGAAAGATATCTTAGAGTTAACGTCCACTCGACACAAATTAGGTCATTTCGGGACTAACATGTTTCAATTTCATTTCAATAATTTCAACCATAAGGTGGAAACCGGAGGTTGCACAGGCGACCCTACTTATTGTCACCTCCAAGCGGCGAAACAAATCTGAAAAATGGCATACGAAGATCTTATAGACGGACACTGGTCTTTTGACTACAGTGCTCGAATCCTGGCGTGAGTCAAGAATAATCTGAGAGATTATCCTGGCGTTTCGTATTAACTTACCACGGGCGGAGCCTACAGGGCTGACAAAAACGTCTATCAGTTTACACACTTGCGGGCACGTAAAAGAATGTCTATAAATTGAAGAGGGGTAGACATAAAGGTGACTGCCCCCCCCCCCCTCACCTTCGCATTGCACATGTAACCAGAGAAAAGACATGTCCCCAAATAACGAAGCTGTGGAGTTTCCTTTAGAATTTTGACAGTGCTCGTATTTCAACAGTGGACAATGGAACACAAAATTGGCTATATCACAACAATGTCTTTATTTATAAACTTAAAATGTTTTAGTCATTTTAAATATAACTGTAAATAATAAACAGGAAACCGTGTCATCTGTAATGATTAATACATTTCCGTCAAATGCAATTATCTATTTCGTACAGTCCACTTACAGTTCAACAGTGTATCTCGTTTGCGACAAAATCTATTTTTTAAAAGTTTTCAATATTTGTTATGCCGAATAAGTTACCAATTCACATGGTATGGAACATTTAAAATGAAGTTGCAAGAAAATTAATTGTCAGTGGTCTATATTTCTAGACATTAGCGTCTATGTAAGAGAACAATGACAGTGGTTTCAATTTCCAGTTAAAAGATACAGTATATACTTTCAACAGAACTGGTGAGCAAAATATTGTTTTATCCATAGTTTTTTTTATAGTTAGCGAAAACTAGACAGATAAATTGGCGCTATTGAGCAGTTTTAGGCAAAACAACAAAAAAACGTTCGCTGCTAGGCATTTGATTTGATTTTTCACCCCATGAGAAAACATGTAAAGCAATAATCTTATAAACTATACAAAATTCAAACAATATGATGTGTGGTCAATATGGACGGAAATATTCCATTGAGTTTACATGTTGGCATCTGGTAGTGTCATAAGTTCTCCTCTATGTATAACGTACGTATAGAGCTAGCAAAGAGTTAAATAACATCTCGAGAACAAAAGGTTTGAGGCCTGGGATTAGTAGATGTGATCCAGATCCCCAAAACGCAACTCTTAAATATGGGGTTTTGGGACACCACCGGGCGCGCTGTTAACACTACCGTCAAAATTGGTTTTGTAAAATATCTCGAGTACATCAACGAAACCTGTGTAAAAATTTCATTGGGATCCCAATGAATATATAAATCCCTCTGTGTATTCAAGTATGGGATTAACCCTTTTCACGCACAATCTACCTTCAATGCAGATCTCAGTACAAGCACAATGTGGGTATATATCAAATTTTTCATTGGGACGCCCTAGGGCAATTTGAATCCTTTTAAGCGGACAATTTTGGGAATTAACCCGCTTCTGAGCGAATAATTTTGGGAATTACCCCGCTACTGAGACGGTCAAAGACCCAATCCACTTTAAATGCATATGTCAGTACATACCTTCGGTACAAGCACATAATTTGTATCAAACTGTTCCTCGGGACCCCCCTTGGCAACATCAATTCTTATGAATGTCAATATTGGGAATTAACCCGCTTCTGCGTAGCTCAAAAGTAAACATTGGTCAGCAACGCCCAATCCACCTTCAGTACAAGTGAATGAGGTATGTATTTAAGGTGGACTTGGCGTGGCCGACAAATGGTGACCTTTCACCTTTTGAGAAGTGGGCTAATAAAGAGGGTCTCAATGAAGATTTTGATACACAATTTGTCCCTGTACTGCGATTAGGCGTGGCCGACCAATGTGACCTACTCAGAAGTGAATCTCCAAAATAGACTACCTAGATGGATTTATATTGCCATTTGGGATCCTCGGGGCACAATATGACACAGCTTTCGTTGGTGTACTCGGGATGTGTTATAAAACCAATTTTGGCGGTAATGTAAACAGCGCCTCCCGGCGGTGTACCCAAAACCCAAACTGGGCTTCCGAACCCATCTACTAATTCCGTGCCTCAAACCCTTTATATTCTAGATGTAAATTAAGTCTTTGACAAAGTACCATAATTAGCCTCAAAATTACCGAAATATTGTGGTGGCAAAGCAGTAATTTAAATCCCATATCATTCCATTAATTAGACTTATTATGTGGGTCACTATTCTGTTCTATTTACAAGCGGGTGGGGTGGGGGTACCATTCAATGCAGATTAATAATCAAAGCCAATCTCATTTACTCTGATTTAAGGTACATATAGAAGGAACATGGTTTATCAGATAATTGGAGTAATACTTGCTTTATCCTTCACCTTATCACCACTAGGAGCCAACAAAAAATGTCTTGAAAAAGTGGACGTGCAATACGGTGGATTTCACGCCAACTGTTCTCACATTAAAACTTCAAGAGTTCCAGAAGATCTTCCTGATAACACCACAACGTTAGATCTAACCTTTAACAACATTAAAACTCTGTATAATAATGATTTCAAATATCTGACTCAACTACGATATCTTGATGTCAGCTTTAATCCTATTGATACTTTACAAGAATTCTCATTTCATGGACTTGGTTCATTATTAGTTTTAGAATTCAATGGACACAATTTGAATTATACAGAAATGTCCATGCCCTTGGAAGTTTTTACCCCACTCAAATCCCTGACAAATTTAAGCCTCAGATCTGACATTTCACGTTTTCCAAACCGTCAATTTATTATACCAGACCGAGTCGTGGGATCCCTAACAAAACTAAAACAATTAAATATTGATATGAGTTCCGATTTTCATTCTGGGTTTTCTAATTTAACAGAACTTAAGGAACTCATCGTTGGTGGATTTTGGAAACACGGAAAATGGTTTCAGTGTGAACTGTTCTTATTAACAAAAACAACCTTCAGGGTCTTTTCTAATATCCCTGTTCAGCTAATTCAACTAAATAGCTGCATAATTAAAAGTTTCGATGAAGACTTTCTTCGTCCATTCCCCAATTTGAAGACATTGTTGCTTAATAATATAACCATGAAGAATGGTAATTTATCTCGTGTGATTCAAGTTCTTCATGTGTTTGAATATAAGAATATGACTGAGATCAGTATTAATCGAATTATAACATTTTTACCCTACATCGGATTTAATCGAAGATTAGATCTACAATCACTGTCAAAGATATGCCTGGAGAAACTTGACTTGAGTCAAAACCTAATTAACATTGTAGATTTTGATGTTTTTTTTACCGCACCCTATCCACCCTTGACCAGATGTATAAGAAGATTTAATGTTTCAGGTAATCGTATCACAGGTACAATAAGTTTGCACCTTGCCCCATTAATATTTGCAGCCACTTCTTTGCTGGAAGAAGCAGACTTATCAGATCAAAGGAAATTCTCTTTTAACAAATATATTATTCGGGCAACACCATCTGATGCACATCGTAAATTTCCAGAACCAATACCAATTTTTATCTCCAGGAAATTGAGATATTTAAACGTAGCTGGATTACCACATGAAATTGGAGAATTGGAAGTTGATGTTGAGTTTATTTTCGCGAATAATTTAGAATATTTGAATATGTCTTATTGTGGACTGTACAACGCGAAACGTAAAGTATTTGGACTAGGTAATTTAGACATTTTGGATATTAGTGGTAATTCTCTAAGAATTATAAATGTGACATTTTTTGACGAGTTTCCGAATCTAAGGACATTGCGTGTGAGTAACGCCCTGTTAGATAACGATTTTCTTGCTCAGAATGGTCGTAGATTTTTCAGTCCCTTAAAAAAGTTGGAAAATCTGGATCTGTCTAGTAATGGTCTCGTGTATTTACCTAACGATTTATTTAACTCAATGGTCACATTGAAAGTACTAAATTTAGCCAACAATAACCTTATAACTATACCAGACGTAACCCAGTTGGTTAAACTAAACTCACTGTATCTTAACCATAATGCAATAACTACCTTAAGCCACCAAACTAGAGACATGTTAGAGAAAACCAACGAAAACAACAAGAAGTTCAAGTTACATCTTTGGGGAAATACATTCACTTGCACCTGTGAGGAGATTCCATTTTTACGTTGGGTAGAGGAAACCGACGTTGATTTGGATGGTAGCGATTATTCTTGTGTTGAGTCATCAGGAATACTGACCTTCACTAAAGCCGTTTATAACCAATGGACAACCTTCAACCGAAATTGTGTTTCGTCCTTTTTGTTGAATTTAACTATTGGGGGATTCGGTATTATCACTCTTACTCTCATAGTAGCCTTCGTCTTCATTAAAAACAAAATGAAACTTAAGTTATTGCTTTTAAGGATGATTGGAAAAAATATTTACCCAAAGAAAAGAGATGATTTTGTGTATGACGCATTTATAATATACACGGACTCTATCTCCGGTTGGGTTTGTAATGAACTGAGAAATGAACTGGAAACAAATCGAGGAATCAAACTGAACCTTCGTGATAGAGATCACATACCTGGTGGTTCTCAAGCCGATGACTTGTTAGAAGCTATACGTGACAGTTGGAAGATTGTTTTAATCTTAACCGAAGAATTTTTGAGAAGTGATCTAGCCTATTTTGCCATGTGTAACTGTTTATCGTCAGTAACACTGACAACACCCCAGAGATTAATCGTTTTAATTGATCATCAGACAAATATTACAGCTAATCTCGATTTTCTTCTTGAAGCTGTTAATGAGGATAGCATTCTATACGTAGATCTTCAGCATCCGTTAACTATTGCTTTCTGGGACAGGATATCCAATGTCATTAAATCAAAGGAAGGTATAAACATATAGCGTAAAATAAAAACAGTTTATTTGCCGTCTCTTAAAGCCGTTGATCATTAGTTGTATTTTTCACACATTATCTAAAGTTTCACGTTGTAAACAACGCTAAAATGTTCTCACATTTCTTTCAAATCAGGTAATCGCCCGGCTTGGATTCAGTCGGATCATCCAAAGATTTTACCCAACGCTTATAGGTGTTTACATCGACCACAGAGGATGCCGAATATTGTGAAATGTTCAACTCACCAAATCGTTTTAAATCCTGAGCGGACAAAACCTTTTTGGTTCGGTATTTCTTTTAGAGATTCAAAATCCCCCAAATGACGTTCATCCGTTTTACTGCTCATATTTTACAATTGTTTATATAGCATTCAAAACGCTTATGATTTTTGCTTGGCAAACTGCATGTTATAATATGCTACACGCTTATAATTAAACAATACACAAAGTTTGGAGGTGTCCACTTCACTGAATGTATCAAGATAAATGTAGTCCCCTGACAATTTCTGGTGAAATAAAAATTAAATTTTATCTCTGGTTAGTTTTCATTATCAGTTATATGTAAACAAATCAAACTGGTACCAGTGTATATGATTGAATTGCCGGGGGTGTCGCCAACAGTTAGATTTCGTCAAATGTCGTTTTTTATTGTGCACGTAAATTCCCCGTCGTCTTGATAGGGTCTGTGTTTTAATCAGAGAGAGAGAAATGGAGTTTAACGTCCACTCGACACAAACTAGGTCATTTCGGGACTAACATATGGTTTAATTTTATTTCAATGATTAGCTTGCGCGTAGGGGTCTTTAGCAGTGGGAGGACCCGGAGAAAAACCACGAGGTTGGACAGGCGACCCTACTCCTTGCCACGTGTGTTTTAATCAGCTTGAACTCAACCATCATTAGGGTGTAACGGTGATATACTAAAACGTTTTTTTTTTAAATCAGATAAAAATTGTAACCTCTAGAGGCACCACAAGCTAAAAACGCGATTGTTCGTACAATCATAGGCCATAATTCAGGAAGTTACGATCCGATATGCGCGAATATCGAAAGGAAACAACATATTTGGTTTGTAAACATACATTCCAAGTTTCATAAAAATCGGATGAACATTGTGACCTCTAGAGCCTAGGGTCCACGGCGTATTTCGTTGTCAAAGATGTATTATTTCACCGTAATCAACCGAATCAGTGGAGTAAATTACCGAAACAAAATTAAATATATAGATTGCATAAAGAACTTGCGTAAACTCTAATTATGCTCACTGAGACGTTTTGGTGTCGTGAAAGCCCTCAGTACTCCTATGGAGTTCTAGTCTGAAATTGTTATTGATTGCAATGATTAAAACAAAACTTTAAGGTAGATCAGATGATGACTATAGAGTATAAATCATTCACAAGTTAACAAGAGCGAAAATCCTAAAAGTAATAAGCTGAAAAGAGTTGAACTTTTCAAGCAGATTGGATAATAACTTTTTCTGCTAGAACCTTCAAAAGATTTGTCAAAATAAGGGCCAGAATTCTTGAGGTCACAATTTTGCTCCAATAACTCTAGTAGTAATTATCGGAAATCATTGAAAATCATCGTGTTTCTTCGTCTCACACCGCATTTCAACGTGGGCGTATAAAAACTGTTTAAATATATCACTGTTACATATCAATAAAGGTCGAGTTCGAATTTCGTAAAAATCTGACCGAAACTGCTGCTCCTTGTACGCAATTATAGTGTGAAAGTATGTAATACGGTACAAAGGCTGTGGACACTCGAGAAGTCACATTTTTTATCCGATTTTGATTAAACTTGGACTCTCTAGAGGTCACAATTTTTATCCAATTTTAAAAAAACGTTTAACTTTATCACCGTTACACCCTAATGACGGCTGAGTTCTAATTTCGTGAAAATCGGAAAAAAACTGCCTGACAAAATGGCGGCTCCTTGTACGCAAATATTGTAAAAGTATGTCATACCAAGGTTGTGGACCCTCTAGAAGTCACAAATGTTATCCGATTTTGATTAAACTTAAAATATATGCTTATGTCCCAAAGATATTTGTTCCTTTCGCTATTTGGGCATATCAGACCATAACTTCCTGGATTACGGCTCCTGATTGTACGAAAAATCGTGCTTTTTAGTTTGTGGATTCTCTGGAGGTCACATTTTTTTTATATAAGATTTTAAAAACCGTTCAAATATATCACTATTCCGCCATAATGAAGGGGAAAATCGACCGACAAAATTGCCACTCGCGTTGTGCGCAAAGTATTAATACGAAGGTTGTGGACCCTCTAGGGGTAACAATTTTTATCCGATTTTGATGAAACTTAAAATATATCTTTATACCCCAAAGATCTCAGCCCCTTTCGATATTTGCACATTTCAGACCATAACTCTCTGGATTATGGTCCCTGATTGTATGTAAAAAAGTTTTTGTTTTTAGCTTGTTCTCCATCCATCCCTTGCAAAATGTGGGCGTACCTTGCCTGGCAACCACTGGTTGAAGGTACATTAAACAAGGTAACTCGGGGAGTAGTTTTGTTCAAAATCAATAGACTTCTTCCTTTCACTAGTTTGAACTGGGCATACAGCACCCTATCTATTTTAAACAGATAAGTTGATAACTTTGGGCAACAACTCTAAGAGATTACCAGAAATTGCAGTGGGCATATAAACACAATCAACCAATATCAATAGACTAGTAATTATAATAATTCTGTTCAGACTTGTTAACATAAGACAGGGGGAGGGTATGCTGTATCATTTAATAGGGAATATCACATGACTTGATATTTGTTAAATTCAAGTTTTATCTGGCTATATGGGGCACTTTACCAACTGACTTTTAACTTTAATAGTTTCTTTTTAAGCAATAACATATAAATAAATGCAAATTAAGTTTATTCAGTGATTATAAATATAAGAAATACAAAAGTATATCTTAATATACATATTTAGCAAAAGTCAACAAATTGAATCTCAATGACACGATTAACATATAGATGTATCTTTTAACGTTTACAAAATTTATAACAAATTTATCACAACTGTAATCAAATCATATAAATTATGATTTATCAACCATGTCAAAATTTCAAATGAATACAGATAGAGTTTAACATGCAATTCACTTCCACGTAGGGATCTTTAACAGTGGGTGGAAATCGGAGGATCCAAAGAAAGGTTGTGCAGGCGACCCTACACCTTGTAGGGATTGAAACAACACTACTTGACTCAATGGCAGGTCTTATGATCTAAAGTGCATGTGTTAGACCATTTGGATTCCACCTGCTTCCCCCTAAACCTGGGCGAATACACTTCTATTCAAAGTGTGGAAGCTATTTTAATATTAGATACATAAAGAATCTAAAACAGCTAGAGGATTTCATATGGAATGTGACACATTATTTATCTGTATTGTTTCTATATATTCAAAGAAAAATTCTTCTATGTTGTTAAAGAAGTTCAACAAAATGTAACCGAAATTAAACCTCTATATACATGTAATTCTAAATTTTTCAATAAAACAGACAATTGATTAAATCTTCTCTTGTAAAACAAATATATTTGTATGGTAGAAAATTCTATAATTAAAGTGAAAATTAGTAATTCAGATCAACAAAATTTAAGATTCATTTATTTGTTGGAAAGCATATACAAATGAAGCAATGTAATCATCATAGCTTTGTTAGTAAAATTTAATCTAGATAGCATTAAAAGAGGATACCAGCCTCTAAATATTACTCATAAAATCAGCTTTTGATGGTTCCTCTGCCCAATGAGGTGGCCAGGAATTTTTCACTGAAGCACGATCTTTTACACGATTATAATATTCAGACAATGCTGGGAATTTACTCAGGTTCAGTCCAAGACGAACAAAAAATGCCAAATAAGGAAAGAAGTAGACGTCGGCCATGCTGAAACTCTTGGATGCAATAAAAGCTCCACTTCCCATCTGTAAAATAATAAGATAAGAATATGAGTTAACTTCTTTACTAACATCTCCAACCCCAGAGTTGGACTCTCAAACAAATTTCCTTGTAAATTCTAAAAGTTAAAGCTGAACTCCGATTACAAAACTACAGAAATAATCAAATAAAAAAAAAATAACACCCTAAATAATCGCCATACTTGTTTTCAAGTTGTAGAACAATCATGACGATTATACGGTGTACAAAAACAAGAGGCAGGCCACACCCACATCCAGTTCACGCCTTGTCAACCACACTGTCCACATCCGACTAGCAATATTTCAACTACCAATTACCTCCTGACTGATTGACGTTTTTTCACTAACAGTTTACTGAAAGTATTATTGCTACCTAATTATTATATCTGATCAGGTACGTATTATTTTTCTAATTAGACGAAATAAGTAAACCACTGTGTACTTTTGCTCTAAAAATAAGAAACAACTGCCTTATACCCCAAACAATAACAAATCTACGAACACCAACCAATTCTATGTTGTTGACATAACATCAAGGGACATAACTACTTCACATGATGGTGAATATTTTGAAGTGAAAAACTTCTGTGATGGAAAACTACTTCACATGATGGTGAATATTTTGAAGTGAAAACAAACTTCTGTGATGGAAAACAGTTTTTTTGCTGCTTTGGATATATTTTTGAACGATAATACTAGACTTTATAATACTAGAAATTATTTGGTGTTTCAACGCTGTTGTACAAAACATTTCAAGAAATAAGAAAAAAATTGTTGGTGTTGGTAGATTTGTTATTGTTTGGGGTAAGGCTATTAAGGAAGTTTTTCTCATATTTTTTAGAGCAAAAGTACACCGTGGTTTACTTATTTCGTCTAATTAGTAAAATAATATGTACCTGATTAGACATAATAATTGCGTAGCAATAATATTTTCAGTAAACTGATAGTGAAAAAACGTCAATCAGCTGAAATATTACTAGCCGGACGTGGACAGTGTGGTTGACAAGGCATGAACTGGGTGTGGGTGTGGGCAATTATTTAAGGTGTTAATTTTTTTTATTTAATTATTTCTGTAGTTTTGTAATCGGAGTTCAGCTTTAAAGACCACTTAAGATCAAAAATCTAAATTTCATATACGTATAGCCCATGGTTACTATATCAACTTTACGGCAAGTTCACTCCAATCTGATTAAAATTAAGTCGGCTGTTAACGTTTAAGTGTCCGGCACGCCAAAACGCTTTTAGATTTTTCAATTACGACCTTAATCCGGTTGATTGGCTGATGACGTCACAGGCACTACACATAGGATATACATTATCTATACAATATCTCACTGTCTGTACAATATAGCACTATCAATCCACACGGCAACTGGACAAGCGTCTATTGACGGTCCAATTACCACAGGACTGGCCTAATCATAATCACCGAATTATCGTCTTTCATTGGTATAGATTAGACATTTGTGTTTGGAATATTTTAGAGTGAATTTAAAATGCCGTATCATGCCGTAGATCAATTTAAGCTGCCTTTGTTTAAATAGGCCACGTGTCAAATGAAGATGACTCAAGAAATTAGCGCATTTACCGGGAATTTAGATAACCCCGTAATACTTGATATCCCAAACTTAAGTACAGAAATACAAATGGTGCCAGTCATTTGTCGATATATTCTTTATTAGCTAGCTATATATAAGAATAATAACCATTTCTATACATAAAGAACAACTTTTATCGTAACTCCATTTGAAATTTACAGTGAATATGGAATTTTCCGATGACAATAGATCGCACTCATTTCTCTGCCAATCAACGCTGGGAATCTTATTACCATGTACCGTTCCATGTACTACGCGTGTAGTAAATGAGGTTGAACTTCGACGCAAAAAATGCACGGGATCATACATGGAGTTCCTGGTGCCGTTTGGTGAGTGATTAAACTGTCAATGCAATTGTAAAATACTTTTATTATAAAAAAGATAAACGATGTGAGACATTATAACCTAATCGTATCATATCGTTTATCCATCCATCAATTAAATGTTGTTTAAACGCCAATCAACAAATAATACAAGGCTACTTCATTACAAAAACACCGGTGAGCAATAATTATTGGGTAAATAGTAATTTTAAACAACTGATGAGTAAAACTTAATTATTTTATACAATTAATGTGTGTGTGTATGATTCTACCATTAGTTCGTTCGTAAGGTATTACGCACACGTTCCACTTAGAAGTGATGTCTTTGATCTGGCCGACGTAAAAAAAGATAATTACCTAATCAACATTCTTAATCCCACTAACACTCACTGCTGACACCAACGTGTAAATTAATTTATGACCCATGCCTGTATAACTTTTATAGTCCGTTTGATTAATTAATGACAGATATTAACGACACTACAACCGTATATTATTTACATATTAAAAGTGTTCGTCCAATAAGTTCCATATTGTAAAAAATTAATTAAGAGTTCAAGACTTCAAAGTTTAAAAGTTGTAGGCACTTTAAATTGGATCTTAAATTAAAATGAATTACAAAACATATTATTCCGTAGTCAATTGTTTTATTTAATTAGTGGGATTAAGGAATCCTTTAGGCGTTAAAGAATACACATGCCCGCTGTATATAGGTAATTAAGGAATAAACATTCCGAATATGCATTCGGTCACTGTGACGTCACTGGCGTCTGAGGGGATTAAGAGTGTTTTCGATAATTGGCAAAGTCGTTTTTAAGGGAGGTCTACTTTTACGACTTTGAGTGAAGAGAGCCGAATTAATTTCAACCAGATTGGCCTGAACTTGCCATAAAGTGGATATAGTAACCACTGGCTACACCCATTAAAAAGTTTTTTCCCCCATCTTATGTGCACTTTAACATGTAATTATATCTATACTTTCTCATAATGCATTGCAAACGATATTTTATGACCAAGGATCTGAAAATCATGCAGTCCCACCACAGAAAGATCACATTTGGTGTATGATGCAATAAATTAAGAAATAGCCATAAATGTCCCAAATTTCTTTTTTGGCAACAATTTGTTGTTTATTTCTTGCAATGTCTGTTTTGTTCGCAGGTTTGGTTTGTTTTATCGTTTATGTTTTGCGTGTAGTGTAGTTGGAATTTGTCCCAGTATTATGGGTCAAATTCAATTGCGATAATTGCAAGTAAATGCAAAACAAGCAATTGTCATTTTAAATCTATTGGGTCATACAAGCATTTAAAGATTTGACTGGATAATAATGAAGATGGTAAAGACAGGCTATTTCAGAAAATGAAAATTACATTTGTGACAATCAAGACAACAACTGGGCCCCAGAGGTGTGTATTATTCACCTCAATATGCCTTCTGTTTTTCCTCACATCCCTGCCCCTGTGACCCGCTTATTTCCTCCTTACCTCACAAATATTTATAGGTGCAAAAGGAATAATATATATCCCTGCAACTGGCATTCCTATGTCAGATTAATTATTATCGGCACCTTAATGCAGAAGCAAGTGTACCGAAGGTGTATATATTCTTCCAAACCATTCATTAAATGAAATAATGTTTAATGGCCTACTGTTTTGCACCGACCAGGCTAATGAAGAAGGGCATACACCTTACATTGTGCTACAAGAGAAATTTTGACCGGACGCTGGCACCCGGCCTACTCTTATTTTAAATTTCAACTTCAGCTTGCCTAGGGTTTTTTTTCAGTCGACAGCAATGTATTTACTGGACCTTGGTTTTTGTCCCATCCTAACGACTAAACACTGTTCCTGGTCAGGCCCTCCATTCTTCAACACTGATTCACAAGAGAAATCCATGCCTTCCTGGATAAATATCTGTACAAAGATTTATATATCGCTGGTGTATCATATGCTTCTGGTTTCACCAATATTAATATTAGTAACATTCAAGCAAGTAAATGTCTGACCTTTTCCATGTAACCTTCCCAAATCTGTAATTCTGCTCGACCCTTTACATATTTTTCTTTTAACAATGCCTAAAAAAATAAAATATCACTATATAAGCAGAATCATATATTAAAGTTGAACAGTGAAGAAGCAGCAAAGGGGGACAATCTGAATTTGTACAGATTTTCAGTTGAATGACAGGTTTTGCTAGTTCTAATAACATATGCTGTGTGTAGAATAGTTCTTTTTAGTAGTTTCACAATAGCTCCTGAAAAATATCAAACTCAAATAGGCCATACAAAACCAGGGGATACCAGGCCGGATACGCCCACATTTTGCAAGAGATGGATAGAGAACAAGCTAAAAATAAAAACGATTTTCCATACTATCAGGAGCCATAATCCAGGTAGTTATGATCTGAAATGCGCGAATATCGAGATGGGCTGAGATATTTGGGATATAAAATATATTTTATGTTTCATCAAAATCTGATCTAGTGGGTCAACAAGCTAAAAACGGCCATAATTCAGGAAGTTATGATCCGATATGTGTGAAAAGCAAGGGGGGCGGGGGTACGGGGGTTCATATGGCGTTATGTTCTTTAGTTAAAATGTGATAATGCCTCTGTAACTGTAACCATTACCTCATCTTGATCTTCTTTCTTGGTATGAAAAATATAATATACCAGCTCTTTCAATATATTACCTTCTACATTAGAAACCTACAAAATATATATTCATAAAATAATGTATTTTTTACATCCTAAAAAATATTTAGTCATATATCTAAATTAGATATCTAAAAAATATATAGTCAAAAAATGCTGTATTTAAACCAATCTGATTAAAACACAGATCCTATTTCGTTTCGTTTTTGTTAGTTCAAAATTTCATTTTACTCGTCTTTACTACACTAGGATCTGGAAGAGTTGTTATCATTGACGTGTTCTGGATGATGTGAGGCATTAGCCAATGAAACGGTCTATTACGGCTTGAGGTGCACAGAATTGTGGGTAATCCACTAGATTACAGTGGTTCTCAACCTTTTTTTGCCAACGGCACACATTGGAACGCATGAAACAACAATAGCGGCACACCTGGCTAAATATATATGAAAAATATTTGAATTTTGCAAAATAAAAACATGGTAAGTCAGACGGCATACAACTGTAGACAGAGACTAGTCATAGACACATAGAAAGACTCAAACTATGAAGACCAGTGATACACAATTGAGATCACATGGTTTTTCACATTTTCTTAGTGTGCCGTTCAAAATTTTGCGTGGTTGAGAATCACTGCACTAGAAACATCAATGCTGATTGATTAATCAAATGTCTGACGTCCTAGGGTCAAAAGCCGCCTGTATAACCACTGATTATACCTCCCAAAACAACTGTTCAGATCTTCATGTAGTGTAGGCCATCGAAAGTATAAAAAAAACGAAACGAAATATAGATTTCTATTTTAATCAGATTGTATTTAAATTTTTTTGTAATTAAGGATGGGATCCACATTGACCATCCAGTATGACCGACGGCTACGGAAAATGACCAAAAATAGGCCGGACTCATCTTTCATTTTTCATGCCGGAAAAAAATAGCACATTTTTCAAAACCTAATTTTAAAACATGGTTATGATCGACCTCCGCCATGTAACTATATAAGTTCTACGGCCTGTACAGAACGTTGCACACGTGTAGAAGCCAAATTATTTCATGACTGATGTTATATTATTGCAGGCCTATACATAGTTATCAACAGAAGATTATACTGAGTGTTGTGGTGATAATTAAGTGGGAATCTTATCAATGACGAGAAGCGGTCCATTGCTTAGTCATACATTGTGTGAAAGAGATAATTTGGTCTTCAAGAATAAAGCCAATCAGATATGGAGTATAGCTCATCGAATCCAACCAAATGTTGTATTAAAAAAAAAAAAAGGATAGAAATTATGTAAATCATCAACATGTCGGGAGAAAACTGCAAAAGGAAATGTATACAGTGGTATTATAAAAATAAAAGCTAGAGGCTAGTCAACTTGCTTACCGAAAAATTATAACAATTACAGATTCCAGTGCTATTTTATAGCAATATTGATAATTCATGTCTAGCGCACAAGTACAGTGTACATCTAAATGTCTGCATGACAAAAAGTATTCTATGGGGCTGCTGCGCTAGTGTGAAGTTAGCTTGTCATTTCAATTAGTTATTAAATATTAAAATTTACATCAAAATTAGTAATGTCACAAGAGATGGTCTAAAAATGTGTGAAATATGCTGTAATATTGTTTTACAACTCAAAATTATCATGATCAGTTTTACATAAAGCACGTGGAATAATTTTTCTACGGCCAATTCACCTCTTTATTTGTCTTTTTAACTAAAGAAGAGATTTCAATAATAAAACCTATACCATAGCCAAAAGGGAATATTTCATTAATAATTATTATAGGCTCTATTATTAGTAAATATTTTATTTCGTAGTCCAATATAAATTTTTTGTGTAAAGGGGCAGACGCAGGAATTCACGATACCATACCGTAAATTAAAAAACATGGAATATCAATTTAATTTGCAAATATTTCATGTGTTATCAAAAATGACCCACAGTGAAAATTTTTAGATGAATTTGTGTTTTCTATCCTATGTTTCTTAGAATTCTGAATGTCACGATAACTTTTTATATTTGCTTATCTCCACATAATCAAATATTTCTGTCATAGTATGGACTGTGCAAAGTTACTTTTTAGACCTGAAGTCAAGTAAAATTAATTATCAATTATCTTACTTCATACATCCTTTGTAAAACATTAGCTTGTTCCTTGACATCGGATGGAATCAGTTGTGTTCCTTGGTTGCAATATCTACGCTGTAATTTAAAACAGGTACAAAGTTAAGAGTATTATTACCTTGTGACAGAAAACTAATAGCAATTCGATGACATGCAGTGTTAAAAGAGTGCTGATTCTGACATTCTGGATAGAAATAAATGAACAATTGAAAATAGTGATTCTAGACGTACAGTACCAGTACTTGAAAAAGTGTCGGGTATTATTGCACTAGTAGCTGATATATTTAACTTGGTGCCGCGCACATATTAAAAATATCAATAAAAATACTGAGAAAAGTCAAATCCATATAAGGGATTGTGTCTGACACAGGTGCCTTTTATTCCAGGCTTGGGAACATAGATTACCCACCCTGTGAAAATATTTTATCCCTCCACAAGTGGCCACAATTCAATATAATTACAATTAGATTACGTTATCATCAACTGGGTTAGAACTCTGCTGGTGGCTAATCTCTTGATATTGCTAACTCCAAATAAGCTTTGGCTTCTGAAAGCCAAGTCTATATTGCACTTACATTTACAATAGGTATAAATATGTAGTGACAGGTGTCATGCATGAGCTAGGGTTTACTTAGTCTTTCTATAAAATTATTAAGTATTTGAACAACCTCTGGAGTTACCTCCCTTTTAACAATGTGCCTTTTAAAAAGAGAGAGAGAGAGAAATGGGGTTTAACGTCCACTCGACACAAACTAGGTCATTTCGGGACTAACATATGGTTTAATTTTATTTCAATAATTTGCTTGCGCGTAGGGGTCTTTAGCAGTGGGGGGAAACCGGAGGACCCGGAGAAAAATCACGAGGTTGGACAGGCGACCCTACTCCTTGTCACGTACAACCGGGGATTCGAAACCCCGCCAGTTGACTCAATGACAGACTTTATGATACAGCGCACGCACGCTAACCATTCAGCCATCCAACCCCCCTGCCTTTTAAACAATTAGAACATGAAGAACACACCACTGAATCGAATTGATTGATGGTTTTGAAACTTAAAGGACAATATTGGTGCCATTCATTATCACATATGTGATAGAGATGGTTAAACACATTCCAAATATAATTTTAACACAGAGATCATTGCTACGATAGCTGAGTAATACAGGTTTCCTAAGTCGGAAGTGACGAACGCCAATGGAAAACACGAGTATCTCTCTATATAACTGACTGATGTGACGAGTGATAACAGATACCGCCGAATTTCTGCTCACTAATAATTCCTTTGAAGACCCAAAGTTGATATATGGGACTGTAAGAGGATATCTGACAATTCAATAAAGTAATTGAATGTCATTAGATAAGAGAACACGAGAAAAATAGAAATAGTCCGTACATTCCCTTGTTTATATTCATTCTATATCTTATAAAAACATGGTAATGCACGGACTTTTTCTGTTTTTATTTCGTGTTCACTTATCTAGTGGCAGTCAATTCTTTTTATGAATCGTCAGATATCCTATCACAATCTCATACAACAACTTTTGGTCTTCGAATGAATTATTAGTGAGCAGAAATTCGCCCGTTATCACTCGTCACATCAGTCAGTTATATAAAGAGATGACTCGTGTTTTCCTTTGGCGTTCGTCACTTCCGATTCTGGAAAACTGTATTACTCAGCTATCGTAGCAATGATCTCTGGGTTAAAATTATATTTGGAATGTGTTTAACCAGCTCTATTACATATATGTGATAATAACTGGCACCAATATTGTCCTTTAATTTTTTCTGTCAAAAAACAGGGTAGGATTAATAGGGAATTTTTTTTATTTAACCTACCTCCAAGTAATCACAAATGGCCGCAGACTCATTCACTACAATATCCCCATCTTTAAATGTTGGCACCTGAAATACAAAATTTTAGCAAATAATTTTCAAAATACAGTGTGATTTATCAAGTCAAATTTCTCATAATGAAAGTATCAGAGCCCGATGTGGGATCAAATTTAAGTCAAAACTTTAAGACATCTGATCATTCTGATGGGTGCATATTGATTTGTTGATCTAGACGGTAGGCTACTAACTACTAACATTGTAGATCAGATATGGTAGGCCTAACTCATCTGTGTGTATGTCTCGAGATAAAGATGTTTACCCTATAGTTCTTTGATGCAGACATTTGTGAATTACATCAGCTTTCACTAAACAAAACTGCCCCCTAGGCCTTGTTTGTCGTCAGTGTCACAGTCGGAATTTGATATAAGACTAAGAGTATAGGTCGTGTAGCACTGCTGTCCGGGCATAATTTCCCCTTGTGGCACATTGCATAGCGTATGCCCTTCTTCATTAGCCCTGGGTCGTGCATACATTTCTGCCACACCTAGTTCAGCTCTGAACGTAGCCAAATGAAATGAAATGGGGTTTAACGTCCTACTGTTCTGCTCCTAAACTGGGCTAATGAAGAGGGGCATACGCCATACAGTGTGATATGACGGAAATGGGGTTTAACGTCCTACTGTTCTGCTCCTAAACTGGGCTAATGAAGAGGGGCATACGCCATACAGTGTGATATGAGGGAAATTTTGCCAGGGCAGTGGGGCTACGGGATATCTTTTATCGAATTCCAAATGCCAAGGGATCTTTTATGTGCACGCCAATACGTACACGGGACCTCGGTTTTTCGTCCCATCCGAACGACTAGACAGCTATCCTTGTCGGGCCCTCGATCCGTCCCTCAACGTAGGTCTCATTTATTACGCTTGCCCTGGCCTGTACGTTCAGGAACCGTCCAACTGAATCCATGTTGAAAAAAAATCGCTCCCACTCCCAGTCAGTTTTACTGGGCAACTTTTTACTGTTAAATGGTCGTGTGTCAGCCTCTGTGAATGCCTGAACAATGTAAAGGAACATTTTAGAGAGAAAATAAGGCTGTTTAGCAGTTAAAAAGTTGCCCAGTAAAACTGACTGGGGTCGATTTTATTTCGACATGGATTCAATTGGACGGTTCCTGAACGTACAGGCCAGGGCGAGCGTATAAATGAGACCTACGACGTTCAGTTCTCTGCTGAAATGCCACACACAATAAGTGGAAGGTTGCATAAAACCCAATAGGTTGCATGAAACTTTGTTAATTGTGTGATCAACATTTTGTTTAAATCATCTAAATAACTTTGTAAATAACACTTCAAAAAGCCATTAAAATTTAAAATGCCAGAAGTTGAATTGAATTGTTTCTCAAGCAAGGCATGATTCAGCAAATCTGCGGGAAAAGTCGCCGGGTGTGGAATAAACCAACCTGTCCACGGGGGTTCAGTTTCATGACATCCTCTGCTTTGTGTTCCTTCTCGGAGAATTTGATAAGTTTGTTCGGATAACCACCGAATCCCTTTTCTTCCAAAGCTATCATTGGTTTCCAGCAGGGAACACTACCAGAACCCCAAAAAAGAAACATGTTCGACGCCATTTTGTTAGCTGGTGTCAACGACTATGAGTCTGCGCAATGAAAGGTTTCGTTTTTTTATTTTTAAACTTAATAAAGGGATACTTCCACTCCAGCTCACTAAACTCTTCACGACCAGATCACCAGAATGTAATTAAACCGTTACAATCACTTTTTGATCCCTTTAGTTCTCTTTTAAATAATGTTTTTAAATAAACTCTTAATTAATTAATAAGTTTAACAACGCGAATAACTCCATTCTTTGAAGCCTTATAAATAAGACGTCGGAAAGCACATTAATGTAATTATGTCAATGTATATAAAATGATTTCCATAATAAATTCTTAAACATACATTATGCAAGAGCTAAATCTGCCTATTGCAGGTCTTTCTATAGGCTTGAAATGTTATCTAAATTATTAATTAAACATTAATTAACTTATCCAAACCATAATCAACTCTCGATGTCACCGCCCTGCGATATTTACTGGATTAGGATCTGATTTTCTGCTCAACTTTCATTCATGATTAAATCATGAAATGGATAATAGAGACTATGTTTTTTATCGTATGTTCATTCTGTTTTAAATATTGGATATTATAAGCTGATAACAACATCCCTATTGACTGAAATAGACGAATATTTAATTGAGATTTGTGCTCTAAATGTCGAATATTATGGATAATATTGAGTTAGAGCTATAGCCCTTTAAAGTATTTTTTAAAAGTATTTTAACAAAATAATGAATGTTATTAATTTCATAAAATAGCATATTCAAAATAACTAAAGACTAAGCTAATTATTTTCCAAAAACCTTCTTAACGCGTCAGAGCTACCAGGGGCGCCGACACGGCGCGAGGGCCAGGGTACCCCCCCCCCCCCCCGGCCTCTAGAAAATTTTGAAATTTGTCAATTCCGAGAACGTTGTTTAGAGCGCCTCAAGTATTCTAAATTCCAACATAAAACTCTTTAAAATACATGATAATGAAAGAGACAAAAGCCTGATTATTCACAATTTCGTATCATAAGCAATTCATCTGGCCAAGGCATGCACTGATAGCTAATAATGAGAGTGCGAGAGCTGGTTCTTGACCGACCAGAGAGCAATTACATATCTATCATTTAAAAATGAATAGACTAGTAAAAAGGTTGAAAACTTTCATCATTAGGGCATGGGTATACATGTATACCCCAGAAAAGGGCAGGGTACCATTTATATACCCTGGTACCCAGGTTCCAGCGCCCCTGGAGGCTATAGTTCGTGACATAATTTAAAACAAAAAATTGGTGTAAAACATTGTGGCCACGAGAGAACGAATCATGATACATATTCAGCGTTCTGCGGCTTTCAGTTCCGAAGTTCCCCCCACCCCCCTGTGAACTTTTCTCAAATTCGGTGTGAAACATTCGGGTCATAGGAGGGCGAACCCTATCGATATTCAGCGTTCCAGAGTTACTTCCCGTTTTCCAGAACCTTGTGAATATGATATAGAGGCTACAGTCTTTAATGTATTTGTTTCAAATCGGGTGTGAGGACGAAGCCCGTAAGTATTCAAATATTTAACGTTCTGCGTCCTTCCTTTCGAGATTCACCCCCACCACACTTTTCCGAAACAGTGTGAACGCGATATAGAAATATGGTTTTAACTGACTTTTTCATACTTGTTAACACAACAGATTTGGTCCACATCAAAGTTTTCATTTCGGATAAGCTGCTGTCGAGACATAGCTGCTGTGTGACTGTGAGCATATTTGCGCGCTTCGCGTGGCTATCTTCACACATGGTACCATTGTAAGGCTAATCATAACGAGCAACCCCATGGAAATGCGAGTCGGCTATAAGTGTTTTACGGGATTAGTGTCACTGAAACCGAAAACTTGAATGCGATCTATGGTTCAAAGTTTTTGAGGTTGGGTTTGTTTTGTTTGTTCAAATTTGTCAGGATTTGTCGGCTACAATTAACCGTATCGAAATTCACAAAGTCCATCAATCTTAAGTGTGTATTCCCCCTGATCCCGGATAATCACCCAACCATTCAAAATGCGACTGGTGGGCGTATATCAATTGTCTAACGACGCTACGTTTATAATAGAGTGATGTGGGTAATGATTACACCTTTGTCTGCGATATCACCTCGGTGGAAGCGGACGTTAAATAAAGCTATTTCACTCACAATGATTACATAGGAAAACGTTTCTAATATGCCGTGTCAAAGGAGCCTAGATAATAGTGGACAATCGTAGGTTCATCAAGCCTCTTCCAGATGACATTAGAGTACACACACTTCTTATAAAGTCATGAACGAGCAGGGTATGTTTACTCTTTCTAAAACACCGGATACCACTTCTCATTTGAGGATTTCACATTTTCACATTACCAACCTTTTTTTTTTTAATTCCCGGAACTAAATGTCTTTAATTTTTATTATATTTGGTGTGGTAAATCATGCACTTTAAATTTGAAAAATAAAAAAAGGCAGTTTTACGACCATATTGTCTATTTTACGCCAGGATATGACGCACCGTATAGCAACGTACTTTTAATGTGTAAAACAGGAAAACATTTTTAAGATACAAAACAAGAAATATTTTTTCAATTTTTCAAGGGACATGGTTAATAATGACAATCATGCGGTAGTCGTGTAGCAAGGGTTCTGGACACTTGATGCGCTCACGGTTTTTATAATATTTTTTACAACTTTTCTTGACTTCCATCTAGACATCCTGAATGGTAGGCCCGTCATTAACGATGCCTCACGGCGTACAAACGGTGTGGTTTGATGATATATTTCGACTAAAACATATTCAAACTAATTTATCCAGTTGCAGTTCTTATGTCTATGGTCCTTTCAATGACTGTACTTGATGGTGGCAAACGGTTGATACAACCCAATTGACCTATCCTTTTCAGGCTTAGAACTTTTCAGCCATCCCTCGTAAATTGCTTTTTGGCTATTTACTCGCAGAGGGGGGTTGGGTGGCCGAATAGTTAGCACGTGTGCGCTGTATCATAAGGTCTGTCATTGAGTCAACTGGCGTGGTTTCGATTCCCCGGTTGTACATGACAAGGAGTAAGGTGGCATGTCCAACCTCGTGGGTTTCCCCCAACTGCCAAAGACCCCTATGCGCAAGCGAATTATTGCAATAAAACTGAAATATGTGTTAGTCCCGAAATGACCTAGTTTGTGTCGAGTGAACGTTACCCCCCCCCCCCCTCTCTCTCTCTCTCTCTCTCTCCCGCTATTTACTCGCAGAGTCTAAAAGTCTACTGGACGTTCAAGTCCCCCTTTGTTTACACAGCCGTTAGTCATTATATCAACACATAAGAAGCGCTCCTTACGTCACTCGAGGAGAAAGGTTGCCAGTTAGTAACACTCTCTCATGTGTGCGCCCCATTGCTGTTTTTTTTTTATATAGAATCCGGTATTTATCTAGTATGGTTGAGTGTCTCTACTTTCCGTATATTATACCCAAACTGCTACGATATTATTTGGGAAATAACTACCCTATTGATATTGTCGTAGGAATGTATCTTTAATTATTGTTGACGTCATGCAAGGTTTAATAGTAACGTCATCTTTAGTCAAAAAGTGAGACCTTTTGATCGTTTGATTGTGACAGCAAAAAATAATGGCTGGCATTTTGTATGAAAAACAACAATAATTCAATGATGTGTCCATTAAAATCCTCATTAAATGATGAAAAATGTAATAATGTCAAAGATTTAGTTCACACGATCTTTTTCTTGACAACTTTTACTGGTATATCTTGGGTTATAGACTAAAGTGCAAAACACGAATACATTTTTTTTAAAACAAATTTATAAAAATATTTTATAAAAGAATGCAGTCACGTTGTTGTTGTTATTTATCGTAATTGGTATGTATGGGTATGTTGACAGTCCCACCAAGGGCTAATGTCATATGGGAGCCGCGGTGTCTCAGTAGGTAAGGGGTTGGCTCACTCTGGGGTTCCCGGGTTCGATCCCGGTGATTGCCGTTATAGATCCTTGGGATTTTCCGACGTGGTTTCCCCTTCTCTGTGGTGCAGGAAGGAGGGCCTGGCAAGGAACAGCGTTTATTAGTCGTTCGGATTGGGCGGAAACAGAGGCACGTAAAAGAATTGCTGTCCATAATACATCGCATGGCGTATGTTCGTCTTCATTAGGGGGGTTGGATGGCTGAATGGTTAGCGTGCGCGCGCTGTATCATAAAGTCTGTCATTGAGTCGACTGGCGTGGTTTCGAATCCCCGGTTGTACGTGACAAGGAGTAGGGTCGCCTGTCCAACCTCGTGGGTTTTCTCCGGGTCTTCCGGTTTCCTCCCACTGCTAAAGACCCCTATGCGCAAGCAAATTATTGAAATAAAATTAAAATCATATGTTAGTCCCGAAATGACCTAGTTTGTGTCGAGTGGAACTTAAACCCCATTTCTCTCTCTCTCTCTCGTCTTCATTAGGTATGACGTTAAAATGACGTTAACCCCCATTTCATTCATTTATTCGTTCTTATGTCATACCAAGGGACGCTGAAAGCGGCGCGAGGGCCAGGGTACCAAAAGATAGGGGGTTCGGGGGGGGGGGGGTCTTTCGCCTCGGCCTCTAGAAAATTTTGAAATAAATTTGTCAATTCCGAGAACGCTGTTTAGAGCGCCTCTAGCATTCCAAAATAAAACCCTTTAAAATACATGATAATGAAAGAGACAAAAGCCTGATTATTCACAAATTAATAGACTAGTAAAAAGGTTGAAAACTTTCATCATTAGGACATGGGCATACCATTTGTATACCCTGGTACCCGGGTTCCGGTGCCCCTGGTCATACCCCAAAACTTCCCACAATGCTACGCCAGCTAGTCACACCGTACGGTCATACGCATGCATGGCTGCATGGCTGGGATCATGACCGTTCAAACGGGCAATTCCCTTATTCCACAATATTGTAACCTTTATCATCAAATATTGAACTATAACTATACCACTTCCGGGGGATTATTTCATTTCTAAACATCTCTTCACAACATTTTATCAAACAAAATCCTTCTATGTATATAGAATCTTCCGAGAAATACGGATTGATTATACCTCCCGCTCATCTTTCGTCCGTTAACGTTTTGCATATCCAACCTCTGCTACAGAATCAGAACCGTTTTCAATGTTAGTGTTGCGGTGCTTAGTCAGATTTGTTTAATTTGCCGCCATATTTGACGGAACGTGGCTATAAGATGTCCAATGAATTACCGCTTAAAATATTACAATAAAATATTTAAGAAATGTTGTATGTGTACAGTTAACGGTAGCCACGGTTTCTCAGTGAACATGGTACTGCTTTACTACCAGGAAGTACGGAGTTCGGCCCCAGTGTCGGGTAAGAAAAAAGCCTCGGGAATTTTCAGGGTGATTTTCCCTGGTCAGTGGTGCAGGACGGATGGGGCGAAAAGCCGAGGTCCCATGTAGACGTCGGTGTGCACGTCAATGAACCCGTGACAGTTGCAATGAGGGGTAGGCGAAGACGCCACTGTCCTGGCGAAATTCCCCCATTAGAACACTGTATGGCGTAAATGCCGTATTCACCAGCCTGGTTGATGCCGAAAAGTAGGACGTTAAACCCCATTTAATTTCCATTTCAAGTTTTAAGTAGATGTATTATTAATATAACGTAGGCCACGTCAATTTGATATTCGGTTATTCGGGTTCTTAATGAATAAATAGTCACTTGAATCAGGTAAAAGATGTTTTGTTTAAAATCTTGAAAATTAAAAATATTGAACTTAAAGTGTTTGAACAACACAACCAAGTAAGTACTGTTGGTTTCTAATTGATCTTTTTCTTGAAATAATTTGTAGGCAGGATTTTTAATAGGTGTTCCCAAAGAACAGAAATTCAAACTGGTGTGGCCTTAACACTATTTATACTAATGTATTTTATACAGAATGTGACGGGAACTCCGATTATACTTTCAACTATCAAGGGACATTTCACGTACCATTGTTAACAATGAACCAATAACAACTCGGCACACCCAGTTATGGGTTCAGTGTGCACTGTGACACTATACGTGAAAGACCTCTTGTCAGTCTTGATAGCTGAACGTACATTAGGGAAATTGAAATATATAACAGTATTCAATTACAGTTTATGGCCATCAACAACCAAATACTTATAGTGTACATAATTATAAGAATGATGCTAGTGTATATACATAATTATAAGAATAATGCTACCTGGTTATAGTGTGGGCATACATTGAGTTCCATTTCAAACAGGTATGTCTCTAGAACTCACTCATTGTCAGAATGAACTCGGAATGAACTCACTCATTGTCAGAATGAACTCACTCATTTTCGGAATGAACTCACTCATTGTCGGAATGGTCATCTGGCAGAGAATTCCATTTTCAGATGCAGCTGTACCGACGGATCTAGCACCGAGAGATTTCAATTTCAAGTTAGTCTTTTGATTTTTTGATTATTTGATCTTGGGGCTGTGTATATGTAGATATGACAATGTTGGGGTTAAATCGAACCCATTAACAGAATGATAAATTACAGAACTATGGCAAAGCGGTGCAGTGGTTGATTTCAACACAGGTGTAATATGGCAGCGCAAACTTGCTTCAGTTGATATTCTAGCAGCATTGGGGGGACCTGATAGCAGGATGTTGCGGCAAAGTAATAAGAATCTTTGAAGTACAGCAGCCGCTTCAGTAATAATTATATGGTGTATGTTGGAGAAACATTTGTGTTGATCGTCGACTTGTCATATAGTCGCGTCGATATCAAACAATACACTCAAGTTTTTTTTACAGAAGTTGGATGGGCGATTGTTTCTGAACCAGTTTTCAATCCATTTTGTGTTAATGGACAATGAACAAATGAAATGCCCCAGGGATTAACGTCTGACTGTTCTGCTGCTCCAACTGGGCTAATGAAGACGGCCATACCCCATAAAGTGTGCTATGAGTGAAAATTTAGCCCGGACAGCGGCGCTACGACCTACTCTTATATCGAATTCCAACTGACAAGGGTTTTTATACGAGCACGTCCATGTTCCTTGCCAGGCCTTTATACCTATACCCACACCCCACCCCAACACCATTCTGTTTGCTATGTGATAATAAAACAAAAAGGCATTGATTTATAAAAGATAACAATCATTATATTTACAAAGATAATAAATATATAAAGATAAATATATAATGTAGTATATTATGCATTAAGTTTAATATTCCATGTTTAAAAGACAACCCCTTATAATTATAAAGAATGTTTATAAATATTCATTAGGCCTATACCTTAAAAAAAAACCAAAATGTTAATATAAACGCTAAGTCATTGTATATCTAAAAATGTCACAACGATGGGAGTACTTAATTTGCCTAATTACATACACCGATCTAAACAAAGTAAAACACGTGTGTTTATTTTATGTACAATTTTATATACAATTAACGAACACGCACCCGTTTCTTTAGTAGATCTATAATATAAGAATTAATATCAAATTTGTCCATTACATTTCGTTTTATTCTTGCTGAAAATGGAAATAACGAAACGAAATTACATGTATATAAGGCAAACAAAAAATATCAGAGGTTCCACACCACTACTACATACATGATGGAATTTTTTTTTTTTTAAAGAAAAAACCCCAAAAAATCAACAAACCTATTTGGATTATTTATAACCGGTGTTATTTAATTGGGAAGAGAATAGGGTTAAACATCTCGTCAAACACAATATTTTGATCAATTTATTTTTTCCTGATGGTTACGTGTGCAGTTCTTGGGGGATAATTTTGCAATTGTCAATAGTTTTTTTTTCCTTTGCACACCAATGTGGACGTTTACACACCAATGTGGACCAATGTGGACGTTTACACACCAATGTGGACGTCGTTTTTTGTCTCTTCCGAGCACCATGCAAACATTTCCTTGTCAGCAACTCATACGCTACCCCTGACAAATGAAAACCGGGCTTGTAAAACATTTTCGTCCCACACCAGGATTCAAACTAGGTACATTCTAGTGGAGGCGTATATTTTTTAAAGTACATGCAGACTTTAAATATGCTTGGGTTATCAAGTTGTGAACGTAATGGCCTTGAATAAAATATGTGTTAAGTTAACAAAATCAAATTCTATTCATGTTTCTAAAATAAATAATTCTCAATGACATGTCTAAAAAATTCAAAATTTCATTGTTTACTTTTCATTGTAAACATTTAAAAATGTTTTTGACAGACTAGATAAAATCTTAAAGGTACTGTTTGCATTGAACCGAATAAGCTTAAAAATATGCTTCACGGCAACTAAACTGAGTTTGCAACAAATACACTAATAATTTCATTAAGAAAAGAGGGACCAAAGGCTTATTTCTTATAAGCTTTTAAATAGGGAAACGGACTAGAAATTATAACAGTTAACAGTTAGTAGTTTAATACATAAACAGTATATACTTAATCTATTCTATTGTCATTCTTAAATTGCCACTTAGATAATGGTACATCAACAAATAGGTACATAGTAGTATATGTACTGACAGAGGTACTCAAGAGTTTAAAGTTTTTGAAACTTTGAGTAAATAAATATGGAAGTATGATGTAATAAGTTTTTATGTTCATCTTCTAAATGCCCATCAAAGACATTACAATGCAGCTTCATTAAAACGACGTATATTGTACTGAATGGCTTCACTGTAACGTTAATCGAGACTATTGACTCGCGCCTTATATTGAAACTCGCATTATAGCGAATCGCTTTATAGTAGAGTCTTAGTGTAGTTCATGTTAACAACACCAAACTTGGTGCTATGACGTATAAATACAATTAAAAACAACATTACCAGACTGCTTGAAGCTTTGGATGTAAAGTTCCATTATAAAAATATCTTAATTAAATGTACTATTATTAAAACTTATCTAACAAACCAAACTTTAAAAATCGTTGAAATATTTCCACCTGGCGCTAAATTCAATGTCGCATATTTTTGATTGTGTTGTTATTAGTGCTTATATCAATGAAGATTGTGCACCACCTATATTTAAACTAAAAATGCCTGTATCTTGGTAATGTGTCGACCGGTGGATTGAATACCAACTCATTATTATGTCTAGACAAATCAAATGATATCCATATGTATATTCTTACCGCTCGAAACTGTTAATGGCCCAATAGTTCGATACAAACTGATTCTTATCAAACCAATTTTTTACGTCATGCATTTTTGCCCAGAAATTGGAGCGAAAAAAAAAAACATAATTTTTTTACGCTTAAATTAAATTTGTTAATACTATTAATGATATATAATCCACCAAATAAGTTTTAAAAATGAAAATTTTGAGGTGAATATTTTGTAGGAAGCTTTTTGAATGAGTAATACTTGATTTAAACAGAGCGCATTGTACCATTTGCACAAACAATTAAATCTGACACATGGTTTGTAGCTCGATTACATAATATATATGTATATTATAACCCCATTTACAGGTGTGATGAAATGTTCTGGGCCTGTTTCATCTTGCCATCTTTAAAATAGTCACGTGGTATCACAATGAAGTTTTCATCTTGAACTGAAAGTAGATAAAAGAAAATGAGTATTTTTCAAATGCCTGCTCAATACATGTGCGTGGTGGGACGTAGAACGTATAGCGTTCTACCTATGTAACCCTTCGTACTGAAATAACAGGGGCGCTGTCGAATCATGGAGAGGAACAGAGAGAGAGAGAGAGAAATGGGGTTTAACGTCCACTCGACATAAACTTGGTCATTTCGGGACTAACATATGTTTCAATTTTATTTCAATAATTCGCTTGCGCGTAGGGGCCTTTGGCAGTGGGGGGAATCCGGAGGATCCGGAGAAAACCCACGAGGTTAGACAGGCGACCCTACTCCTTGTCATGTAGGGACAGGGAAAGGAAACCACGCCATTTGACTCAATGATAGACCTTCTGATCAAACGCGCTGGCATTAACCATTCGGCCACCCCCCACTCGGGAAGACGTTCTCCGATTCAGACGCATACTCCCGGCAGTGTTTCGTTTGATGATACCTAATCCCACTTAACCCAAACAACATTTAATAGCTAACTGCGTAACAATATCATTACGCTTTAAACAGAGCTCCAAATTGATTGTATTATGCCTAATTAACCAGTACATAGCAGAATATTGCAGAAAATCTAATTGCGTGACAAACGAGGCTATCAAAACAAATACAATGTAAACAATACAGTTTTAGGGAAGACCCCAGTTTAAACGAAGGGCTGTCATGTTGCTGTACTTGGGGTAGATCTGATTGAACGGGAAGAATAGACACACTCTCTCAAAAGCTCAAGTATCAGAAGTCATCCAGCAATGGCCAGAGAGGGATTCCTCGGGCCATTGCTTCAGGAATATGATTCAGATGTGGAGTTGCGAAATTGTGCTCTGAGGTCTTGGATACATGTAATGTCGGTTAATTAATACTTATGTTTAAATATAAGTGACGACATTAATAGCATTAACAACTATTAAACAATGTTTCATTTTATTGCTTTTTTCATCCTTTATTATTGAATAAAAATTACTAATATAGTACAAAATTATGACTACCCGTGAGCGGGTGTTAAAAGTGCATTTGCTCACAATGTCTCTCGTTGGGCCTGTATATAGGAGCCTAGTTTATGGGTGGTAAATATAAAACAAAACTTACTCATATCCTGTAAAGCTTCTTCTGTAGATTTAACACCTCTATATGGGTTGAGTATAAGCACGTATACGACAGCCGCTAACACACCACCCACTATTGGTCCTACCCAATATATCTGTAAACATTTATATCAAAATGAATGAATGAATGGCACTATTGTATGGGAGGGTGAGGAATGGGGTTTAACGTCCACGCTACACAAAGTGGGTCATTCCGGGTCTAACATATGATTAGATTTTATCTGAATAATTCGCTTGCGCATAGGGGTCGTTAGCAGTGGGAATAACCCGGAGGGTCCGGGGAAAAAACACGAGGATGGACAGGAGACGTTACTCTTTGTCACGTACAAAGTGTGGGATCGAAACCAAGCCCTTATGATGTAAAGCGCACGCCTTAGACCTACTGTTATGCTCCGAACTGGGCTAATGAAGACGGGCTATGCGGGAAATTTTGCCCGAACAGCGGCACTTTGGCCTACTCTTATATCAAATTCCAACTGTCAAGGGATATTTTACGTGCACGCCAATGTGTACACGGGACCTCGGTTTTTCGTCCCATCCGAACGACTAGACAGCTGTCCTTGTCAGGCCCCCCGTCCTGCATCACTGACAAGGGGGAACCACGCCGGAAAATCTGGATGAACTTTCTCGGCCAATGCAGGGATCGAACACCCGACCGCCAGGTTAGCGAGCCAGCGTCTTACCCACTTAGCCACCTTAGCCACCGTAGCCCCCGAGATTTTAACTAGATAAGAACGGTTCGGCCATTTAATAATTAAATTAAAAAAATGGAGAAGCGATGTGGTTACGATAAACAATCAATGCACAAAACTACAAACAATGATAACTTGGCTCAGAATAAAATAATTTGAATGAAATTTTCAATATATTCATTTTGCATTATCTATATTTGGACTATTAAAGCAAGAATAGCCAGCTCTTTATCTAAACCTTACGACATAATGTATCTTTAAAACAGGGCTAGCGCTTATCCCAACCCTAACCCTAACCTTAATGCTTTCTCTAACCTTAACCAACAACCTCGCCAACAATCACGCTCCCTTACCTTAATTACATCCCAGCGACCTTAACGAAAACTGAGCTAGCCTTAATAAATAGATTTAGCCGTCCACACAGTGAGTATGGCGTTGGATCACTAACCACGTAATCCTGGGGTTGGCGGACATGCCGATGTCCGGACAAAATTTCCGCCATAGAACACTGCATTTCGGTGTCAAAAACTCACCCAATGATTTTCAAAGGAATCTGAGGCTACAGCTGATCCTAAACTTCGAGCTGGATTCATACTACTTCCGGTTAATTTAATCTGAAAACAATTAAACGAAATGCATCAACATGTAATTGTTTATAATTCAATTTTTGGACAAATCGAACAGAGAAATATTTTACATATAATTTGCATTTAAGATTCATTATCTGCCGCCAGACATTCGCACACCAAGGAATATTTGTTGTTGATTTTCCATCACTGATGAATAACCACTGGTCTGTGCAAATAAAAAAGTACGACCGATTAATTCGCACGTTTTATCGTTATATTTGCTACAAATTAACGGAGATGACTTGTTTTGTCTTTGTTGGTGGCCATTATTATATTTGGTTTGTATAAACTAATTCATATATAGGTGATTGTTTGCATGCACATCGCCATATAACAAAGAAGGCAAGATATATCATCGCCGACGGGATATCGGTATGGCGCGTTTTGCCGGACATATTGTCAGCACGAGAAATCATGATTTCAGCGACAAATAATCTTTGGTGACCTTACAGTAACGCTGTCTCAGATTATACTTACACACGAGAAATGGCCCAATGCAACCGTTAAACCAATAAGAAGAGCTGGACTACCAAAGGCAGGTCTGTTTCCGTCTGTAGTCCCGAATATCACACTAACCAGAATAAACGTCAAGAGTAGTTCTATACCAAAACCTTGTGCAGGTGTTACAACACTAGATATATTGGTTACACCGAGGTTACTGTGGAATACTGTATCTACACATCTATTTAACAAAAACAAAATCAAATCATTATGACAAGTGGGTTATATGTACATGTATTGAATAATATCACAAATTTGAACCATACAAAAAATTATCATGCGCTTGTCATGATTTATTTTTTTAAATACAGTATAACGGTTTATATCATTTCATGTGTCACATCTGATTGCTGACAAATGCAAACATTGTTATTATGTTTAACCAATATTTTATCAGTTATTGTACAAGACACTGAATCCTTCATCTCTTAGGGTAGCCGTGTGTTTAATATAGCTGAATTGGTATGATCTGACGTGTTATTTCCCTTAATACGATGTTTTGATTGGTCTGATCTGACGTGTAGGGGTGATGATTTTCCGTGATCGCGGAAAAAACGCGGAAATCGCGGAATTGTCCACTCAAAACGGAATTTGAAATCTCACACGGAAAAAGACGGAAAAGCCGATATTTGCTGATACTAAACACAAACTCAAAATAATTTTGCAGTTATCCAAGTATTTTATCTTTTTATTCATAAAAATCGGAAATATTGAATGATATCGCGTGGTTTTGTTACTGTCTATTTTAGTATTTCGCTACTTTCATTTCATCATTTAGGAATCATAATTTTAATCGAAACGAAAACCCGTCTTTCATGTATCCCATTATAAAATTACTCTGTAGTTTAACTTGAATTAAACATTGTAATGTATATATATGTCTTTAAAAAAACTTCTGTCACTTCATAAAAGTAAAAATCGTTTCATTTACTTCTTATTTTACTGCCGGGCTCGTGACTCGTGTTTATCCGCATTAACCACGTGACATCAGAAATATACCGTAGCCTTGTGAATCCAGCCCTTATTCTCGAAGAAACGGTAGTAACTACGAAGATGTCTGGATAAATCGCGACTACACCTAGCAGCTGAGAAACATGTAATTTTCTGTTATTTAATTCGGGAAACAGGTTTAAAGAATAACTAGTCATTGAACATTACAAGTCATTCACAATTCAACATTTGTTATCATTGGTTTAAAATGATCCGTTTTGTAATAAAAGGCATTTTAAGATGTTTTATTCATTTATTCATAAAATAACATTTTATCTCGAAAAAACGGAATATGGTCAGCTCTGAAACGGAAAATAACGGAATTAAAAATACTTAAAACGGAATTTGCTATTTTCTGAAACGGAAAATCATCACCCCTAGACGTGTTATTTCCCTTAATAACGAACCGATAAAATCAAATAAAATAGAGAATGTTATTTTTGACCAAGGTAAAAGCGGGATGGAGATTTGGAATCGGCTTTCAAGAAATTGTATAGCAGTCATTTAGAGTGGACGCGAAACTAAGTCCGTATCTTTTATCGTTATAGATCCTTTCGTTGATATTTATTTTCTGGTACTTACAACTGATATGATTTTAAATTTGTGGCAGAAGTCGCGAGCGAGGCAGATTGGGCATTCATAATACTACTTCGCTATTGAATGTTTTTATATATTTCCATTTAGGAAGTTAATTTACTATAACTTGTCTTGAGTTTGTCTTTTCACTGATGGAATGCCCTTAATGTACCTTAGTTTATACGAGTAAGACGGTATTGTTATACTATAATGTAGTTAATTATGTTTCTTTGAAGAAGGGATTGGCGCCTTTCAAAAAAGACATTATAAATGTTTGGACATCTATGCTACATACTACTCAATGATAAAGCCTAAGTAAAATTATAACACATTTTTGTTCCATTTTACTTTTTAGTCGCTTTTAGTAATGCACAGAATGTGATTGATTGATTCCAGATCAACCTACCAATCAAAGGACATATTTTGTTGAAAATCTATGATTATCTGAACATTTGAGTGCCAATGTCTAATCAAAGTTTAATTGTGCTGTCCAAAACCTTGTCTCCGATATCACACAAGGTGGAAGCGGTCATTAAGCTCGATACCAAGTCAGACCCAAAACGCACCGTAACTGAGTCATCATCAGAATAAACGTATGAATATAACATTTAATTTGGAAGACATCGCGAGTGTTTATTTTCGATAAAATATTTCAGGTACAGATCAGAGATACCGTGTCCTACACTCGACGACCATGGGGTCTGTTTCACGAAATTTCAACTAAGATAAAAATCCAAATTTTAGTAATTTGATTGGATAATATTAGATTGATTTTAGTGCTTAGCCAATCAAAATTGAAGTATCTACTAAAATTAGATGTTATCTTTAGTTCAGTTTTCGAGAAACCAGGCCCAGACCACGCTTACCTCTAATATTGACCCGACGCGTTCTCAACATACCGATTTCTATCCTTCAGGTCAGTTGTCATCAGTATAGACTATTTTTAAAAAATCTAGTTAAATATTTATATAGTTAAATCGTGAATATATCCAATATTTTTCACACGTCGTAAGTTTAATGTCTATTATTGTAAGTGTAACTATTCTGGTAGTTTTAAAAGTATCACAACATCGATGTGTTATTATACTGTACCCAAACTTAAAGAACGCATAAAACAATCTATATTTATATTCCCTAAATCTCATTGAATTTATCATATTATAAAACAGTTTGTCACACACTGGAAAAAACCCTTTATATAAAAAAAAATGAAAGAAAGAGGTCTTTCAGAGGGTCTAAATTAAAACATATTATCTCTATTTTATTTAATTGACGAAATGCGTTACCATGGTAGCGTGGATCAACACGATGGACCAAATAAACGCTTTAACAATAATCAACCATACGTTTTAGGAAGAAAAATGTCTTTTATAGGCCCTCAATTATTAAAAGATATGCGCTACCATGATTTACACTATAGCACCCGATGGTTCCAATAATCGTCTGGGCTAATACGCCATACACTGTGCTATGAGGGAAATTATGAACTGACAGCGGCGCTACTGCCTACTCTTATATCGAATTCCAACTGCCAGGGGATCTTTTACGTGCACGCCAATACTTTCGTATCAGGCCTTCAGTCCTGCACCACTGACAAGAGGGAAGCACGACGGAAAATCCATATAAACTTTGTCGGAATCGAACAAGTGACATCTAGGTTACCAGCCAACGTCTTACTTACCGAGCCTGTCTTTATTTTAGAAAAAAAAAAACAAAGAAAGAAAGAAGTCTTTTATAGGCTCTCAATTAAAACATATTATTCATATTTTGTCTAATTGATGAAATACGTTACCATATTTATCATAGGTAAACACATATTTAAGAATAATTATATCGAATTCCTTAATGGTAGTAGATAGAAATGGTCAATTTTGTTATATTTTATTTTTCATGTAAATTAGTCTGTTATTCTCATAAAGAATATCACTGGAAGTGTTGCCATGGTAACAATTAGATCGATATATGTAGTATATTATTTCATATTTTTTTATTCGATAAAACACCTTAAATGGGGATGTTGATCGATAATTCATCATATAAAGCTTAATTGTTCCATATAATAAAGTTATATTGAATTCGCCCAATTAGAAACGAAGATAAACATTCTGTAGTCAAGAAGATTCTCAAATGCATCAATGGTGTTTAACGTCCTACTTTTTTTGCACGGACTGGGATAACTAAGACGGGCATACGTCATGCAGCGGAGAGCTACGCTAAGGCCTACAATTTTTTCGAATTCCAACTAGAAGCTGTTCCATCCTGCACAACTAACAAGGGGAAACCACACCGGAAAATCCCGATCTAACGCTGACTTTCCGGGTTAGCCAGTTACCGACTTAGTCACTGAGCTACTGCGGCTCCCTGGAGAAAAATACTTTCAAATTCTCCTGGAGTAAATCATGCTTTAAAGAAAAGCGGGGGATAGACGCCATTATGGATCCCAATACATTGGATGTCAGTATTACTGCCATAATATCTATTAAAATCGATTTGTGTATTCATTAACGACCGCTATAAAAAATAACATATTTGGAAACTTCCGGTTTTTATGCTTGTCAGTTATTCAGAAAGCCATTTCCTCGTGAAAAGCCTATTTTTCTTAATACATTTCTAAAAAAAAAACGATATTATAAAACTAACAAGTCTTTGTCGAATTAAACATTTTTACCGTCAAGGGCCATTGATCATCGCTCAAACTATACATAAAACTGTATTTTACAGAAAAATGTATAACGCCTAATTGAAAAGTGATAAAACTTGGCTAACACTATTAAGATATATAAATCGATGTTTTAAGTTCATCGGGTGTATACCGGGGTCGTCTCAAGAGTATAAAATAATCATACAGTGTTTCCAAAAGGTGCTGTGGTCGTTCCCCTAGGTTCATTCACGGGAGAGGTACATAGTCAAATTATCCGCCCTTGATAATTGTGCTATTGTTATCGACCAATCAAAAGACTTCACAAATACAATGCGAGTGGGCGAAGAAAAGTAACTTTCATTTTATTGTAACTAAGATCGCCAAATTGTTGTTGCAAATTTTGTCAAAATATGTTAGGACATGTTTTTGTGTGCATGTCGCTTCTTGCAAACCTTCTCATAATCGATTGTACAAGCTACATAGCCAATGAAATCATCAATGGCAGATAATTTGAATTCGTAGATCCAGGGGTAAGTTGGACCCAGGGGTTGTGATATAGCGACCTCCACAGAAACATTGACATTGAACGAACCTTGAACTTTGCAACTCGATTATCACACAAGAACTTTTAGCTGGAAAGGGCGAGACTTGGTATACGCGATGATCGAGGAATCTGATAGGCTCCCAAGCAGGGTGAGTACCCAATCGAAATTAGGGCCGACATATGCAGGGTATTACGTGGAGGCCTTGATAAGATGTACGGAGATAAAGCGAGATCAAGCCTTCTATTGAAGATGCGCCACGAGAGGACCAACCGTTTTGATATCCATCGTTCCACCGCCTTACGTTCCCGAGTTACATCAACCCAAATGAAAAAAAAAAGACAACTAGAAAATAAATTACCCTCTAAGTATATATGCGCCGATAACTCCACCTGCGCACTGTGCTACAATGTATAATATAGCCTTCATTATACTGATCTTCATTGCAACAGTCATGGCTATGGTAACAGCCGGGTTGATGTGGGCACCAGACACGTGACCGGTCACTTGTATCATCGCCATGATAGCCAGACCAAACGTCAAACCAATCTGAAAGTATAAACAAATAAATAAATTTAGGTTTATAACAAAAAAAAAAGATAGGCATCTGATCTTTCTAGATTGTCTGTCCCGGGGTAAGGTATGCTTTCGCGATACCACTTCTTGTCTGAGGAAATATCGAATATTTAACTCATTAGAACTAATTCTATATTACATCAACATCGCCGTGTTGATTTAAACTTCTTTTTTCTTAAAAATTTTGACGCTGAAATCCATATCATATCTTTTTAAAAATCCATTTACACTAATTACCCATAATCCTTCATACAAATGACCATTATGTAACCTAATATAATCAAGAACATACTTCTCCAAATAAGTGAAAACACTTCAAATGATTTTCTACTTGGAATGACTGGAGAAACTAAGTCCGACTCGAGCGTCAAATTTGACGCTCTTCGCCTGATGGTAAAAAATAATTTCCAATTTTCTATACAGTTGATAGTACATTTCCAAATCGGTCCACTCTTTGTTGGGATAAAGACATTTTACTAATAGTATATAACGCTCAGTGCATAGTCTCTGATTACTTGGGGCGCCCGCACTTACACTGTTAAAATAGTGCCATTATAAACGTTAAACATGCATCATGCAAGAGCTAAATCTGATTATTGCAAGTCTTAATTTAGGCTTCAGATGTTATAGAAATTATAAATTAGATCTTTTTTTAAACAACAAGACCAAAATCAACTCTGTAGACCCACGGATGGCTCGGCTACAGCTCGGATTTAAATAGGATTTCACTAATTGATTAAATCAAATAAGGGGTAAACTGATGAAAATACGTCAGTTGGATCGAGGCTAAATGATAGAGTGTACTTAGCCAGGCCGCTGTAAAGCGTTTCCGTATGCCATTGAAAACTTTACTTGATAATCGAGATATGTAGGTGGAGTTAACGCCTGTCAATCAAACGATCGGCGAAGGTGAAGACGCATTTCGCTACCATTTTTAGTCAAATATTACAACGATGATAACTATGTTCAGAATAAAGTAATTTGACTGAATTTTTCAATATATTCTTCTTTCATCATCTACTTTTGAACTGTTATAGCAAGAATGGCCAACTCTCTATAAAAATCTCCCATAATGTATCTTTAAGTACGGTGAAATTTACACCACTGGTTGGCGTAAGCAACTAAAAGAGATACACCATACAACACCCCTATTAAAGTAGACTGCATGTAAGTATTAGTATTATTAAAGGGGAAACATTCCCAAAACAATGTCAACTTTACACAGAATATTGGGCAGCAAAAGTTTTAGTATGCTCACATGTCGGTATATTCGAAAGATACCACTAAATGTGCCATTATTTTCATTAGCACCTCCAATAAAAATTTATCGTTAGCGTATTTTACACGTCAAGAAGCGTAAATGTTCCGTGTATATTATCGTGTATTATTTCACAATTAAATAAGTGAATTATCGCTTACTATCTTGATAAAATATTCTTAACACCTCAAGTATAACTTATCGTTAGCGTGTTCACACTTACAAAAGTGTAAATGTTTCAAACTATTATCGGGTATTACATCTTAATAAGATTTGAATTAAAAAAAAAGCTGGTCATTTTTGCTATAATAGTTCAATTAATTATGGGATTGCATTCAAATTACTTGATTCTGAGTAAAGCTATGGGTGTTTGAAGATGTAGCGTGGATTATTTATTATCGTAGCAACAGTACTTGATAAACAAGACTAAGTCTCGATTATCCATTTTATCGTTATTTTTTTAAATCTCGCTGGCGTTCTAATCCATTTACATGTCGGCCATCCGATATTCTAGAGAGTTGAGTATAGGCTTGTCATGTTAATACATGTCTAAATAATAGTTTATATAACATTTCAAGCCAAAAGTAAGCCCTGCTATAGGCAGATTTTGCTCTTACATAATGCATCTTTAGATATTCTGTATACATGAATAAACCACATTATACAAATATAAGTGTTATTATTTTTAACAGTGTATCACGGTTGCACTGTATACACACTGTGTACTTTACGTCACTGTTCATTCTCAGTTCGAGGTCAAAATAATAAAGCGAACATTGAAAACACTAAGAACCGTTCGTAACTGAAAGTTCAACATTTTCTAATATAACCTGTGTTCAACTGAATTTGAAGTGTTGCACTAATGATGCTGCTTGAAAAATAGTTTTTTTATGAGTTATTGAGTCGTGAATAAGACACCGTAAAATAAATAATTATTTAGGCCCCATTTATCCCTTGATGGGGCGGGGTGTAAAATACATCACGTAGTCCTGCCATTTACAGAATTGTGTTACATGTAGATTAATATTCATTGATCTACTTGTAAAAGGTCATGGGGCAATTAACAGAACACTAGAGAATGATACAGCAAAAATATCAATACGTTTATATAGGCTCGATATTACCACAAGGTCATCCAAAAAATTAAAGATGCATTATGGCATACATAATGCATACAGTAAAACCGCGATACACTGTATAAACTGGGGGGGTTGGATGGCTGAATGGTTAGCGTGCGCGCGCTGTATCATAAAGTCTGTCATTGAGTCGACTGGTGTGGTTTCGAATCCCCTGTTGTACGTGACAAGGAGTAGGGTCGCCTGTCCAACCTCGTGGGTTTTCTCCGGGTCCTCCGGTTTCCTCCCACTGCTAAAGACCCCTACGCGCAAGCGAATTATGTAAATAAAATTAAACCATATGTTAGTCCCAAAATGACCTAGTTTGTGTCGAGTGGACGTTAAACCCCATTTCTCTCTCTCTCTCTCTCTCTGTATAAACTGGTTTATTCATTTATACAGAATACCTAAAGATACATTATGTATGAGCTAAATCTGACTATTACAGGACTTTATTTTGGCCGTTTATTATATAACCTATTATTTAGACATTTATTCACATGGCAAGCATATAGTCAAATATCTGGACTAGTGGATGACCGAGATTTCAATGGATTGAAACACAGTCGCCATTTAATAACTTAATTAAAAATGGTGAATCGTTGCTACGATAATAAACAATCTTTGCTAGATCTTGTCAAAACTTCAAACATGTCGCTCAGCATTAAGTAATTTGAATGAAATTTTCAATATATTCATTTTTCATTATCTATTTTTGAACTATTTTAGCAAAAACGGTCAGCTCTTCACCTTAATCTTACAATATTGACAATAGCTGGCTCGCGTCGGTACAAAGCAGCCTACCCTATTCTAAGTAACAAATTAATACATGTATTAATATTTTCTTTTCGGCATGTTACGTCATATAAAATCCAATAAAATCGGTAAGTATAGTTTGGGCCAAAATCGAAGAAGTTTACTAGTTTTAAGCTAAGTGTTAACGAAACGTTAAGCCCCATTCTTCGATTTTGGCAGTCAAAGACCCAGATATTACCCCTGACAAGATGGAATCGGTTATGGAAAATTCTACTCGACCTCCGTCGCGACATTTTGGTCCAGCGTCTAGTCAGTTAGATTTTTTAGGCTTAATTACAGTTCTATGAAATGTCCATGCAGATGTAAAGTTTGTAAACTGGATATGGAATCTGGCATATAATGTATTCTTATTCTAATTTATTACCGATTCCTAGATCGCTTCCGCTCTTTAAGACAGGTTGAATGTTTTTCAATAATGTTAATGGTTCTAATAAGATAATGTACACAAAGATCGCGTCTTAATGTACATGTTTTATATGGAACTCGTATGTATGACGTATTCAATATGATCATTATTTATTGTCTGTAGACCGATACAATGAAATAGGCGAAATGGCTTGGCTAATTTCTTACAAGCAAAGTAGTAGGACGTTAAACCCCATTTCATTTCATTACAAGCAAAGCGCAAATCCACGTGTCTTTTTGTTGCTTATTTTTTACGAGTGGGGGCATTCAAAAAGAGCAGATTGCCTGTGCGCCGACCATATGGCCCTTATAAATGACCGGTTTTTGGGACATATGTTGGAATTAAATATATTTTTGGTTAATAGTACAGGCGTTGATTACAAAATATATACGGAGACTTGTCACTCACAAGAGGACCCCCCATAGTGCTGATAACACCTCTTTAACATGACAAAAATATCTACCATATAAATTACATGTATAAGTACACGTACATTTGTTAGATGGCTAAGTGGGTAAGACGCTGGCTCGCTAACCTGGAGGTCGGGTGTTCGATCCCTGCATTGGCCGAGAAAGTTCATCCAGATTTTCCGGCGTGGGTCCCCCTTGTCAGTGATGCAGGAAGGAGGGCCTGACAATGATAGCTGTCTAGTCGTTCGGATGGGGCGAAAAACCGAGGTCCCGTGTACACATTAGCGTGCATGTTAAAGATCCCTTGACAGTTGGAATTCGATATAAGCGTAGGCCGTAGTGCCGTTGTCCGGGCAAAATTCCCCTCATAGCACACTGTATGGCGTATGCCCATCTTCATTAGCCCAGTTTGGAGCAGACCGTAGGACGTTAAACCCCATTTCATTTCATTTCATTTAATTATTGCAACATAATTAGACAAATATGGGCAAATCATGTACTAACTTCCATAGAAATAATCAGAGATATAATAATTACCATTCTTGGATCGGGTGATAATATTTATAAACACAAATGATATTAATTAAAAACACATCAACTAGCGACAAAAATATTGACATTTTTCTACAACTGTTTATATAGATGAAAATAGAATGTGTTAATAATAAATTAAATGCTTATAAATTGATGGTATTCGGAAGGTAGCTGAGTAGTAATTAATGTCGACATTTATTCGCAGATCGGGGGGTTGGATGGCCGAATGGTTAGCACGTGCGTGCTGTATTATACGGTCTGTCATTGAGTCAACTGGCGTGGTTTCGAATCCCCGGTTGTACGTGACAAGGAGTAGGGTCGCCTGTCCAACCTCGTGGGTTTTCTCCGGGTACTCCGGTTTCCTCCCACTGTTAAAGACCCCTACGCGCAAGCGAATTATTGAAATAAAATTAAACCATATGTTAGTCCCGAAA